CGCTTTAATTCGTCATTAACGCTTAACTCGACAAAACCGGGGGTAGCTAAATATTTCTTTTGTGCATCCGAAAAACGAACGGCATACCAATCCTCACATTTAAAACGTTGTAATTCCGATAATTTTTTAAGAAACGTATCATTTGCCTTAGGGTAGATTGGGTCTTTTACCGTCGTACTGATTTCCGACAAAATTTGAAGTTTACCATTCTTATTTATATTATCTTCAGGTCGCCGCAGATTTAATTCATTTATCGAAACGGACGTAGTATTCTTATTAATTGAATTTGTATGTTCAGTGTCGGTATTTTTAGATATTAGGTTAGCTAAGAAGGCCATTTGCTGCGATAAAAACTCAAAGTGTGCATAACTCACGGTTTGAGAGTCCCTTCTTGATTTACGTTTCTTTGGTCTGGATCCACTACTCGAAGAAGAATCACTATCACTATCTTGAGCACTTGTTACTGGCGAATGTAATCGCTTACGAGATGATGAGCCACCATTAACATTCTCTGACTCCACATCATTATTGAGATTTTCCATAATAACAACGGAGAGGAACAAAATTTAATCGAACTATAATTATTTTATAATAATATAATCAATTAAATATTATTTAAACTATAATTAAGAAAAATAAGTAATTTCGCGAAGTTTAAACAACACTAACAACTGAACGGCGCGAAAAACGACGCTATAATGGTTAAATCATACGGTCACCCGGTGCGCGCTGCCGGTTATTGGCGCCAAAATGCAAGTATAGGCGGCGCTACCAGCGGAGAGGAAGTAGAAAAACATTGACAACAGGCAGAAAGATATGTGCTTGACTCAAGATGGATTCCGGATATTGATACAAAACCAATAATAGGGGCATTTTATATGAAGCGGACAGAAAAAAAAGTGAGGTTAGGAAATTTGTTCATACGCATAGGTTATTTATCCTCTAGTAGGTATGAAAGTGTAAAATGAGAAAATATACAAACAACTATTAAACTTGGCGTTTTGTATAGATTTTGGATGCTCTTTTTAATAAAGAAATATTTTTTTTAAATTCAAATTATATTATAATTGTGTACAAAAGCGGAAGTGAAAATTAAAGGAGAAATTTAATGATCCGTTGACTCCTACTTCGATGAAAACAATAATATTGACGATAGCACCCAAGTCATGGAGTGAAAATAAACTTGCCGAAGAGTTTGGAACATCTAGACGACAGGCAAAAAAAGCTCAATTACTTGTAGAGCAGTTTGGTATCTTGTCTTCTCCGCATCCGCGTGGGGGGTAGCCGTAAACTCCCAATCGAGGTTGAAAACTTGATAAAATATTTTTATCTCCGAGAAGACATTAGTCGGATCATGCCAGGGAAAAAAGATTGCATATCTATTAAATTAGATGATGGTAAGAGAACCCACATGCAGAAACAACTTCTGATGTGCAATATCGATGAATTATATCAGAAGTTCAAAGAAGAATATCCGACCGCTAAGGTAGGTTTAACGAAGTTTTTTACATTAAGACCAAAATAATGTATCCTTGCGGGTGACCCTGGAACACACATGGTGTGTGTCTGTACCTACCACCAGAATGTGAAGTTGATGTTGAATGGTGGAGATATTGCTAATCTTACAGCGGGCACTACATGGAAATTATGAATAATAAAGATTGCCTTCGTCAGATGATATGTCCCGATTCAACACCGAAGTGTCTTTTTATGACCTCAAAAACACCGACAAGTGAACGTTGTGAGTCTTGCACTGGCTTAAGCGCAATTCGTGAATATCTTAGAAACATATTCGACAACAATCACGTGACAGAAGTGCGGTTTGAGAAATGGCTTGGCACAGACCGCTTCACAATATCCACTCAAATATTGTCTTCGGATGATTTTGTTGAAAGCTTGTGTGATACCCTGGATAACTTGAAACCACATGCTTACGTTGCAGAGGCCCAGGGGCTTATTTTAAACAGCTTAAGCAGACTATTGATGAAGGAGTGATCATTGTGCAGTGTGATTTCGCAGAAAATTACAGTTTTATTGTCCAAGATGCTGCCCAGTCATTTCACTGGAACAAGGATCAAGCGACACTCCTGACTTCGGTTTTTTATTATAGAGATGGAATAGAAATGAAACACGGCAGCATTGTTATGATTTCAGACGACTTGAAACATGATACAGCAACATATTACGCTTACCAAAAAATCTTTCACAAGCACCTATTAGAAAATGGAATAGTAGCGTCAAAAACTATTTACATAACCCAAGGTGCCTCACAACGTTTTAAAAATAGATTAAACTTTATTAATCTTAGTCATTTTGAGGATGATTTCAATACGTAAGCAGAGGCACATTTTCATGCAACATCTCATGATAAGGGGCCCTGCGATGGTCTTGGAGGGAACCTCAAACGTTTGGCGACTCGTGCAAGTCTACAATTACCTCCAAGTAGATCAATCATTTCACCAATGCGTTTATACGAATGGGCAAAATCTTCTTTAAAACAAACAGCGGTTTACTACTGCTCTAAAGAAACCTAGGTTTGATTCTGCAGTCATCATTACAGGAACTAAAAAGTTTCATGCATTTATTCCAACAACAGAAGGCCTTCTTATAAAAAGAACCAGTTGTAGTATAGATTCTAATTGTAAGATAGTAAAAAATATAAAATAAAATGTTTTGAATTTGGTATCACATTAATTTTCATATTTGTATTTTCAGTTTAATTATACATCAGTTTAACCCACGACAAAAAAGAGAGGTGTTAAAGGTTTCTTGTGTGTATATGTGTGGTATGTCTATCTGTAATATGGCTTTGTATTGCTCAAACGCGTGCATCCGAGTGCAGTTTGTTTTAATCGAAGGCTTTAACTGTTAAGATCAAAGTTAGGTATATTTAACGAACGTTGGACCAGGCATTGACTAGTAATACAAGCTTCTAAAAAATAGCAAGTAATAAACCCAAAGTTTTCAGAGCTTAAACTCGCTTGAATACAATGATACATGTGATTACACTTTTTTTTGAAATTTCGCTAAGTAACTGACATAGATTAGTATGAAGCATCACGCTCAGAGCGACATGCATTTACATTAATTTACCCATCTTTCTAAGTAATAGAGATTCCACTATGAAGCTTCTAGTGTGTTTTAATAATACTATAGGCTATAATTGGGTGTAAAAAAATAAAAAAAAAATGGTCGAAGTAATCAAATTTTCACTTCCGGTTTTGTACATAATTTTATTTTTAATTTCAAAAAGTTATTTCTTTATTAAAAAAAAACCTATACAAAACGCCAAGTTTAATAGTAGTTTGTATATTTTCTCCATTCGAAAAACTAAATCTATAACATCGAAATTTGGATTATGATTATTTTTCAAAGGCCCATAATTTTAAAAATAAACATCGTAGGTATAAATAACCCGCTTAAGAACAAATTTCCTAACGTCACTTTTTTTTCCTGTCTGCTTCATATGAAATGCCCCAATATTTAATCCAATCCAATTTACCAATAAAGATTTTAAGGGTAAAATCTCAAAGAAAATTATTAATTAATGAATTAATACCAAGCACACTATCAACCGATCACCGATGGGGATGGCCCGCCCCGGACGGAATTTTTAAAGCACGGTAAAATTTCACAATAAATATTGTGTACCAACATGAAGGCTCGTAGGCTAATAATAATTATTTAAAAACAAAAACCGTTCCGCCCTGGGCGAATCTTGGTACGCAAGAGGCGTAAGAGTGGAAAAGGTGCAAAACACAGTTATATTTATTCGTACCAAAAAAATAATCATGCAACCTATACACAGTGTGATAAGAAGTATAAGGTATACTATGTTGCTACTTGCTAGAGGCGGCACGTTTGTTTTATTGCACAATATTTATCTTAATTAAATAATGAAAAATTATTTAAAACAAATAGCAAATGTTTTGCATCATTTTTGCAATTACTGATCGGTTATTTCATTATTAACTTTGGTTAGTATAAAATTGAAAATATGTATTTTTGAAAATATCCTGTGTTCGAGTCCTAGCTTGAGCCAAGTATAATAAGCATTGGGTTTTTATGTGAAGTTCTTCACCTCACAGAATCTCACCTCAAAGAACGCCTCAGAGAGAAGGTTTTTTTTAAAGAGTATGCGAACACCACATACTCTTTTTCCGTGCCTTTAAAATGGGAAAAAAATCTATCCACGCCGCGCCATAGAACTTAACAATATACTAAGGGTTATAGTGCTCGCGATATCTGGCGGGACTGAAAGGCAAAATTCTTCCTTGTTCAAAAGCAATAAAGATTATAAAAAATATTTCACCTTTATTTAAATCACACGCGTATTCCCTATTATATATACTTCCCGATACTTTAATTAATATTACAATAATCAAATTATTAACACATAATAAGTGAAGTATTTGTATACATATGTGATAGAGTCCTTTGTAATGTGTAAGTTTGCTTCGCAACGCATTGTTTCTGTAATGAGCGAGTTTTTAGACATTAGTAAAAAGACCCAAATTAAAGTCAATCATCAGCAAAATCAAATCAGTTAAAAGAAAATTTATGAGATATAATATTATGTGACATAATTATCTATAAACAACCAGAACTCAATCAACAAGACATTTGGATAAAAAGTTTCGGCGAACGTGTGAAGCGGCCTTTTGAGTTTAATCTTATTTAGTTTTTACTTTTTAGTTTTTAGTCTGTTGCATGATGAGATTCTGAAGTTAACACTAACACAGCTGAACAAAATTTTATCGCGTAAAATGTATTAAAAATAAAAATAAATAGTGCGTTAACAGGAAGTTATTTTCGGTAAGACAATAGCAAAGTTTTTGATATCCAACAATCGACTATTTGTGATTAAATTGTTAGTTTGACATACGCCGGAGTGTTAGTGATGGTGTTAAAATGTTGTGATCAAAACAGTAAAATATAAATGATATTCTCAGGCTCTTTCCGGTATTATTTTTTAGATGATACTTGAAGACTAAACAATAATGTCTGAATACGATCTTCAGTTCCAAGCCGATCTAGAAAAGGCTCAGGCACTTAGTTTAGAAAGTTTGGCATTGGAACAATTTCGAAGGCAGAAGCAAATATCTAGTTCAGGTAACTGACGTAATTTTGTTTACTCCACTAGATAAGATGATCCAAGGTCTTAAAATTTTATACAGTTTAATCGCATCAGACATATTTTCTGAAAGAACACATATGTAAATCTATTGTCATCTTGACACTTTGAAATCTTTTTCTATGTAGATATTTCAATTTATAAGAAAGAGTACATAAACAAAAGTATGTAATAAACCTCATGTCACATAACTTTTATGTGATGATCATACTAATATTGAAAATTCTAAATTATGTGGGTAAATTAATTTACTTTGTCTTGGTATTATCAATGATGTGTTTCATTATTTTCATTGACACCTATCACAAGTCATTTAATGTTTTTGTTTTCAAAACACTTGTTTATCCCATTAAACTTGGCAAGAAGGCAAATTATATTGTTGTAATATACCCAATTGAACAGTATAATTGATAACAAGGTTATCATTTTAAAAGGAAGTAAAGTTCATTACTCTTGTTTAAATTTATATAAAAGAAATAAATGTATCTTTCACTTCTTCTGGAACATTTGCAGAAAGCATAGAACAGAGAAATGTGTCACTATATTTTCTCTGTGGGCCTATCTTATATATCTTATATTGTTATATTTTTTGGATTATAATTAACTTATTATGTTTTATAAGAAATATCTATACATATAATAAAATTGTAACCAAGCCGAATCTGTACATTAAATATTTTTTGGAAAATCTTATTGAAATAAATATTATTTATTATAATATTATGAATAATAATACAGAGGCCGAATCTATAGTTTTTAGATATTTTGTCTGCTGTCTGTCTGCCTGTCTGTCTGTCTGTTACCGCATCACAGAAAAACCACTGGAGGGATTTTGATGAAATTTTGTATGGTGATAGCTGGTTACCCGGGTCAATATATAGGATACTATTTACTGCGGGAAAATATCTCATTTCTGAGAAAAAATACAAAATAATATAAATACAATGTAAGAGTGTACTAATTGTAAAACCTAAGAAACTTGTTTTTGGTCATCTGAATGCGGGCGGAGCCGCGGGCAATGCTAGTTTTATATAAATTACTTTTTTAATTACTAGTCTAATAGTAATTCAATCTATAATATCTAATTCTGAGACTATACCGAGTGTAATTCCAATTTTTATATTTAGTATGTTAAAAACATTTCAACCCCAGCAACTAAAGGCACTACTTAAAAAACAGGTTTTTATTTAAACTAGGATCTGGTTTACATCTGAAGAAAACTAAATTCATGGAATAGAAGTAAGAAGTCACTTTGTATGAAAAAGTGTTTGTCAAAACGCGTCCAATAAGGGTGGCGCTTCCACCTACAATAGCTTAATTCATATTGTTGTTATCATTTTTTTCAAAAGCCAGCGCCATCTACTATTTTTAGCATACAGGTGGACAATTTTTCAACTTGTCTCCCATATAAGTGACTCTTAAATACTTCTATGCTCCATGACTAAAATGTATTATTAAAAATGACATGTAAAAAGAAACACTAATTATAACTCAAAAATAGAAGCGTCACAAATAGAGTTAAATTTCATATTTTGCTCCGGTGCATCTAATCTAGACTATTACTTAATGTTATATTCTGGGATAAAAACCTATTAAGTTACAGCTTAGTACTCTATACTAATTAATACTATATGTAGTAAGATAAGAAATGTATGTATGTATTCTATGTATGAATGTCACTGAAACATTCATTATACATATAATATGTTCGGAAGAAAAAGTTTCTTTTGTTCTATAAAAGTAAGATAGAGCATGTAGTACAATATTTTATTGATAAGTTATTTATATATTATATACATCTGGCAGTAATTGTTTTTGTTATATTTTTAATATTCTCTAATAAACCTATAATAGATAGTATTATTTTGGCCATCATGTTATTATTAAATGTGACAAAGATAGCTGTTTAGATAAACAAATATTTAAAATAAGATTACTTACAATACAATTATATATTGTAAAAATTGAATTTTGTATATCATGTAGTGGGATTAGGGTGATTCAATTCCTCCAAAAAAAAAAAATTCTCAGTGCTTAAGCAAAATATTAATCTACATATAGAAAAAAATAAATGGTGGAAATGAATCACCCATATGTGGCATGTATTGCCAGGGCTCAGAAACCCGTTAAATTTTTTAACCGGGTTTTTGTTTATTGACCCCAAACTGAAAGACTTTTCGGTTTAAGGTTCGGTTACGTTCTTTAACCGGTTAAATTCCGGAGAGCGGCTTTTAACGAATTTAGGTACTATGATTAAAATTAAGCAGTTTAAATCAGTTTTTGTGCGTTTTTGTGAGTTTTTGCATTCGGCGAATCTTTGCTAATGGTGAATTGCTAAGTAGAAGGATACATACAATGTTTCTTACTTATGAATGAATTAACCAATTTATTTTTATATCAAAACCGACATCCAACCTTTCTCTATAATAAAATAACCCTTAACCATTATTATTTCGGTTTACTAAACCATTCGTTTTCATTAACCGGTTAAAGAACGAGCGATGAATTAACCATTACAATACCGAAATAAACCGTTTTTTTTTAAACTGGTTCGAAGCCCTGATTATTACTAAAAAACACAGCTATCCACCCAGTTTTTTCTCTGCAATCTACAGAAATTCACTTACATATAGATATAGATACAATCCCCCTAACGTGCGTTACCTTTTCGTGGTAGGGGGGCTCATTAGCGTCCGGCAATACAGCTGGGCGCGAAACCAAGACCCGCACTTGGAGGTGGCTTACTTCGGTGGGAGCGTACCATGCGGGTTACTTCTGGTACTTCATCATAGGGTTAATCTCAAAAAGATATTTACTTGGATTATTGGCTTGGACTATTAAGTTCTATTTTGCTTATGTTTTTTGCAGTCATCAGTTGTTATTAATGTTATCCATGCTCTATAAAGATATAAATTTCGAATCCAAATCCAAATAATTATAAGTAGTGTATTTGAATTGTTTGGTGATTGGTGTGTGTTATCGGATTGATATTATCTCGTAGATAATGTACGCGATACGGGCAATGCTAGTGTTCGCCGACGAGAAGATTGTGACGGTCCGCCGCCCGCTCTGCCGCCGCCTCCGCGAAAGCCACCGCGGCGTAGTTCCAACTCGGAGAGCTCTAGGTAAGGCCCCCACTTCTATTCTATGGTCTTACACAAAATGGCATTCTACAAACGATAATAGACAACCTTAAAGATGTTTGGTAAATTATATATGGCTAATCGTTATTGTATCAAGTAATGGGAATAAGTGATTCCTATATACTTTTAAGTTTTCTGTTAGCAATATAGATTGTAGAAAATTAATTTGTTTAAATTGATATCTATAAACTTCTAGTATAGTTGTTAATGTGTGTGATATAGTAAATTCAATTCTTTGATATTTGGCTTTTAGGCGTGCCAGCTGGGCACATATTACTTTGCCAATGTCGTGGGAAATGGAGAAGATGATATAGTAATTATAATAATAAGAATTAGACAATAACTGAGTCTTTAAATTAGTATTTTGATTTTAATTTTAGTTTTCTTTTTTTTGTCAATAATCTTATAGTTTTTCATGATGATTCATTGTATTTTTAGATAAGTGATGATAAATGAAATTATTTTAAGTTTTGACACAATTGCAAAAGTGGTCAATTTTCGATTTACAGGTCAACAGGAACTAGTCCTACAAGAAATACAAGTGGTGAAGTAAATCTCATATCTTTTGCTAGCCCCACAAGTAAGACACCGACAAACGACTCTCATGCCTTCCTCAAAGAATATATTGAGCAAATGAGCAAGTATGTATACTTAAATGGTATTTTTTTTGCAGATTACTATATATTTTAAGTATTTTTTCTAAAAATTAAATCATTCTTTTTTTATAGATTGGGTCAACAGACTGAGGAGATCACATTAAACACCCCAGAACCAACAACAATGAATAACCAGTACAATCAAAGGCCGGGTTATCCATACAATGCCCAATATTACTACAATCAACCTCCACCTTATCCAGGCTTGCCTTACCCACCTTCCACACCATACGGAATGCCTGCACCTACAGGAGCAGTTCCGAATTATGGCTATTACCCCCCAATACCAAGTCACGATCAACAGACATATGTAGCCACTAACCCGTCAATGTATTCACCAACGGTACCTTACACACAAACGAGGATGGCCACACCTACCCCCTATGTAGGATATCCCCCTCAAAACATTCAAACACCACCAACATATAATTACAATACAACCAATCTAATAACGAGACCTACAAGACCTTTGTACCCTCAATTAAATCAAATACACACATATCCGCCATTACCATCGAAGTCAACGCAAAATCAGAATGTGAATAACAATAACAATAGTAATAATAATGTTAACCCTCCACCGGTCGTGAAGAGTGATTCCATAAGAGACAGCATGGATAGTAACACATCGCAGAAATCTTCAGAAGTAAGTATCGTATATATATAAATACTTATCACAAATTTCTATTATAAATGTGAAAGTTTGTATGTGTGTGTGAGTGCGTATGTTTGTTATTCTTTCACGCTGAGATATAGACATATAGACTAAGATCTGGAGTAACATAGGTTCCTTGTAATTATAAAGTTTGCCAAAAGGTGGCTCTATCTGTACTTAATATTACAAATAAAACGCCACCTAGAGACCCGTGTGAAGCAAGGGTAAGTCGTTAAAGTTAAATACATATTATTTGAATTTTTTTTGTGAAACTAGTTGAATATAGAGAAAATTAAATATGCTTATCTTGGTTTTTCAGTCAAACGAGTCAAACGATACAGTGGAAAGCTTGCCAAAGTCGGAGAATCTAATCGACTTCGGGCGGAAGTCTAGCAGCGGTCAAGGTAGCGTAAGAGTCAGTGTGTTAGAGGCGTTTGATCCGCTACTAACAGAACAAAATCATTCGGGTGAGTGGTTTGTGTCGCATTTTCATTGTTTGAGCTTCATGGCAAATGTTATATTACTATCTCTTTATTTATTGTTCTTTGGTAATTTGTCAGCTGATATCAGATTTTTCAATTTGTGAAATATTCTTAATAAAACTAGTTCTTTTAATGTAAATATCATGTAATGAAGTATATGAGGAATTTCAGATGGCTGATACAACATCGTTTACAACTGGTTTTTTAAGAGTAAACATTTTTATAATACAATTTGTCATTGTCATTTTGGGTCTAAAACGTTCATTTTTACTATCTTTACATATTCACTTAGTTATATGTATGTATATTCACAATGCTATGGTTTGTGTTAGTTGAACTAGTTAGTACAATATTCATAGAGGTAGTTTAATGGGACGAAAATACACAATCACCTCCATTTTATGTTAATCACAATAACGAATGCGCTTATGTGATGTTTTAATAATGATCATGGTTTGGTTTTGAAAAAACGTTAATATTATCAATCCAAAAAAAAAGATGGTATAGTAATTTCCACAACATTTCCCTAGACTATGCGGTACCAAGCGAGGGCTCAGGTAGCGTGTACGAAGAGTACGACCCCCTGGACTTTCTGTACGGCGAGACAGAGCTCCGCGATGCGCCCGTGTACGCGACAATCAGCAAGCGAGACACCACGATGGTGCCGTCTCCGCCCCCCAAGAACATACCAAGCGTGCCTGCCGTCGCTAAGAGACCTACTACGGTATGGCTGTCTTTATTTAATGGACTGGCGACTCACCCTCGCTTCGCTTGGGTTCGTCCCTAGCTTGATTCCCCATACAAACTTTCATCCCTATTTTCATCCCCTTAAGGGATTTCCGGATAAAAAGTATTCTATGTCCTTTACAGAGTCTCAAACTATCTTGTTGCTAAATTTCATCTAAATCGGTTTAGTAGATCCAAAAATTACCCCCTACAACGATACAAACTCACAAACTTTACCTCTTTATAATATTAGTGTGTGTGGTCAGTTGGCAATTAACTTTAATTAATACGACAGTATATTTGAAATCTTCCACAGTTAGGTAGTTGCAACAGGATTGGCCGCCGCCAAAAATTCATTTTATACTATGTAAGGCCTTTACAATGGAAATACCATCGGGACCCGTTCAACTATCAAACCATCAAACCGGGTGTATGTCAATAGGTATACATAGTACATACACTGATAGTGTGCTTCATTGTCTCTCTACGACCATATATGTCATCCACTAGAATTAAATGAACGAGTCAGTTTAAAATATTAAATAAATACCAAGGATAAAATATTGATCACAATAAACCAGACGTGATTGTAGTGATATCTCACAGCCGCAACTTAGAAAATAAGAATGAAAATTAACATCCTATTAAATGCAATACAATAGGAAAGTAATATTCAATTCCCTAAAGTCACATTGTTATGTAGTATCAATCAACTGAGCACACTTATTCATTAGTTATCGATTTTTTTTTATTTATTTGTATATAATAACATTTACATGTTTCCGGCTTTGTGAATAATTTTGTAATAGAAAACTTTAGAGAATTGGATCCTTTGTGGAAGGTAAATATAGAATTAATATAGGTATATAACGTCGCGTCACAAAATTGATGTAATTTCTTGTTGTATACTTGTTTTAACAATTTTTTTGTAACTTGATTGAATAAAATTGTTTTTCTCTTTGTCCTTCTAATGAAATAACACGTAACTGGTATTTTCGGGTTACGCACCCGAAGGGTGCTATTACTAAGCCTTCGCTGTCCGTCTGTCTGTCAGCGGGCTCTGGCTGTAACTCATAAACCGTCATAGGTAGAGAATTGAAATTTCCAGAGTGTGTATTTCTATTTCCGCTATAACAGTAAATAATAAAAAAGGAACGGAATCCGTGTGCAAGTCCGACTCGAACTTGACCGGTTTTAATTAAAATAATTTTATAACATCACCATCCTCGTGAATATTATATTCCTGGTATCTATTTGGAGAAAGAAAAATCATGAATGTATTAAAAATAGCTTATTTACCATACTGAATGTTTGTTCACAGAATAAACTATATGATTGTATAGTCAAAACCCGCATCAAGAATTACGACAGTGAGCACAAAGCGTTTTTAAAAATGGTTCTTGATGTAAGAAGTGAGTATATTATGCAGATATCACATAAGGTTCTTAATTTTATTTTATATTAACTATGGGATGTGCTAAAGCGCAAAGTTTTAGTATTAACTCGTTATTTTTAACTTGCTTTTTGTCTTGATCGACGGACTTGTGATCCCCCATCCCTTTTTTTTTTTTTTAACGTTGGGAAATGCATTTACGCACGAGGTGTGGGACTCACCGGCAAAGCCAGTACTACCCACTAAAACCCAACAAAACCTTCCCCCGTCTTAATGGGGCGTCGCAGGATCGCTTACGCATTCGACTACGACGCCCCGACGGCAGGTCTGCCGAAGCAGACCACAACAACCACGGGGTTGCTCCACAGTCCACTCTGCTATCAGAGAAGTACCAGGAGTAACCCGCATGGTACACCGCCCCCCGAAGAGGGCCACCTCCCACCGCCCACCGAAGTGGGCAACCTCCCTGTGCGTTTCTTAGCTTCGCTACTACTACTGAGCCCCCCCACCACGACAAGGTGAACGCACGTTGGGGGGGGAGGAATTGAATCACCCTAATCCGACTACATGATATACAAAATTAAATTTATACAATATATAATTGTATTGTTTTGGTTGGGTTGCCGGGCACTACTGAGCCCCCCCACCACGACAAGGTGAACGCACGTTGGGGGGGTATCCCCCCATCCCTACCCCGACCCCACCACAAAAATGTGAACGCACGTTGGTGGGGTTAGTGTCAACCTTTGCACTAAATGCATCAACTAAATATAATTAATTCATAACCAACTCGTCAATATGAATTAAATAGCTCAAACAAAGGTACACACTCTAGTCATTAAAGACGTCTACTTTTCACCTCCATTTAATTAACAGATTAGCTCGGTGGTGGCAAATTATTGTACTGTCATCTATCTACATTTTATATATAAATCATATCAAAATCGTCATTTTTTACATATTTAAAAGAAAAGAGCTGGCGAGAAACTCAACAGTTGCTCTTTTAGATCATAAAAGATGATATTATTTCCCAAAAAAATAACAATTTTATCTGATATTAAATAAATATATAATGTTAATGTGATATTTCAGAAAAGTTCACGTACACAGACGAACAAACAAACCCCGGCCACGTGGTCGCGGCGCGCTCGGGCGGGAGGTATCCACCTAACACTAGCATTAAGATTCTAGTCTACAACTCCCATACTGACGAGCCAATCACATTCACATCTGATGGTAAGGGAATGTAAATTTTATTACTATTATAATAAGTTCTCATTTCGAAGCTTATTACTGTGACACAATAAATTTAATCTGTGCTGTATATAACTCCATTTATTTATAATTGGTCGAAGGAAAAAATTAAATAAATGTTCATAGTAATATCTATATTACATAGTATATTTACTATATATTTTTATTTTTTATCTTTATATTTTGAACTAAAGCTTGTTCTTGGAAAATGAAAGAATACAAGGATAGGCCAATATCTTGCAAAAGTGGTTAAAAACTTAATATTATATTGGTTCATTTTTTCCAGTTAAGATATTTTTTAAAGTTTTTTGCAATTTATTATAAATTTTAGTAAGTGTTATTCTGTTTTGTTTCCAGTGGAATCGACCGTGGAACACGTGATATTAACAGTGGTGTGTTCTCTCGATGAAGATATGAGAGAAGATATGTTCAAATATATGTTAAGGGTGAGAAATTCTTACATCAAACTAGCTTTTAACAGTTAATGATCACAAAGGCTGTACATAAATATGTGCTTAAATTTAATTATTTTTATTATCTTAATACCCGGACATCTTATCGCCGAAAAAATAAAAATAATAATTTCTTAGATTTACGAAAATAATAAAACTATCTTTTCGGTGTCTTTGAGATGCCTACAGCCGTGATCTCCCGTGACTATGATTGTCTGGAACCAAAAAACTAAATAAATCTGTGAAAAATCTAAAAAGATACCTTTCATTTAAAATAATAATAAGCCTATAGAAAACGTGTGGAAACAGCCTGTGAAATGTGTGTGTGTGCAATTCACACAAGGTAAAAGACTAGAAGTGAAACTTCAGAAAAGTAACCTACGAGGGAATGAGATGAACATATATATTATATATATAGAGTATCAGGAGTGGGATAATTTTAAGGTATTTATTTTACCAAGTTTTAAAGTTATTTTACATTTTATTTAACATTTATACATAACATATTATTCAGTATTCTTTTTCACTTCCTGTGTAATGTATTCTATCTCATTCTCTCGCCGGCTTAATCCTGCGAGTATATATTTATGTGTTTGTCTCTTTCTTTAATTCTAAAGAAGTTTCACTTCAAAAAGTTTATATGTATTCACGATTTGGCTTATTGTAATATACATATCTATTGGTTTGGAATAGGATACCCGACAACCTTTTTGGCACTGATAACCGCCTTGATATTTTCCAAGCCTGCGGCTTACGATGAAATTGGTATAAATAATGGTTGGAACACATAATTTACTTATACTTTTTACTACTTCTTATAGGTATGGGGAGCAAAAGAATATTTAACACCCGGCAGTTCACTAAGCGAATACGATTATATTCGCGAGTGCGTGCGTTTAGAGAAGGACGTCCGCCTGTGCCTCAGCGAGGGCGACGCGGCGCTGGCGAGGACCGAGCGGGACGACGCGCGGGACTCGCACCTCACTCTGGATGACCTGATACCGTCCCAGGGCTCCCTACCGATGTTGTCGTTCGATAACTTATCCATTTTGCTCGGTAAGTGCTGAATTTTTTTAATGTATTTTTGTACATTTTTTTTGCCTATATTTGATTTTAAAAAACAAAAGATTGTACTAAATCTTTCGATTATTCTGCGAGTGGTTGCTTGAATTTATTTAAATTGAATTTTCAATTGAATGGTAGAAATTTAGTTGTATATTCCTTTGTTACTTACTTATTTTAAGCTTTACAGGAGGGTGAAAAATATTTTACGACCTACCAAATATACAAAAAAAAAAACATTAAAATCAGTTGAGCCGTTTCAGAGAAGTGCGACCACAAATACCTTGACACCAGATGTGGTTGTGCCTTTGTTTTACATTTGTCAGCGCTAGCGCTTACTGAGGCTAGCTTGAATTGATTTTTTAATTTGATTATATATATTGTATCTCTCATCGCGAGTGTCGAGTCGGCGTCGCGGTGCTTCACCATGGTTGTATAATTAGACTGTGGTTGTATCGTGGTTATCGTTGTGCCGCAGAGACGCTGGAGGGCGAGCTGTCGCGCGCGGTGGGCGTGGTGGGCGCGGAGGGCGCGGCGCCGCCCAGCGCCGTGTTCCAGGCGGTGAAGGCCATCTGCGCGCTCGCCGGCGGCGTGGAGACGCTGCACGTCACGCACACGCTCAACGCGTTCGCCAAGGCCTGCACTGCCCAGGTATACTAATATAACATTAGAATATTATTATTAATTCCACACTTAGAAAGGAATTTGTTTTGATTATTCTTATTGGGACCTTTGAGTTAATATCCGTTCATTAAAATATGTCATGAAAATTAGCTCAGTAAATATCGACCAAAAATTATGTAAGACATATTGTATAGAGAACACTTAGCTGTCGTATTGATTTGAAATTAATAATATTACTATATATAATTTGTCATTTAATAAATTATAGTATGGCAATGGAGCTTCAATGGCTACTAGTAAAATTTGTAGAGGATCATTTGATTTCAAATTTGATTAAATGATTTGTTTTAACAAGTGGTAAATAAGTAATTACTATTAATTAAAATAGTGGAGTATTGTTATTTTTTTATGAAAACTATAAACTTAACTAAAATACAATATATTACGATTTCTTTGATTTATGCGATCTGGATTTATAGCAGCCTCTCTCGTGATCATTATTGTTGTAAACCGTTCGAAACGTCGTGAACCGAAAACAATAAATCCGAAGAAAATGATTTTTTTAAAATTATTTTTATTACAATACATAATAAACATTTGACATGAAAAGGTAACAACGGCGGTGCGGCCCGAGATCCAGTCGGAGAGCGGGCCGTACTGCGCGGTGTCGCTGCGCGCCGCCAGCGCGCGCGAGGCGCTGGCGCTGCAGTGCGCGCGCGTGCGCGACGCCGTGCGCGCGCTGCTCGCGCTCTACACGCGCGCGCGCCTGCTCGACTTCCACATGGCGGAGCCGTCCATTGTTGCGACGGACCCTGCTAGTTAGTGATGTTTTACTTTTTCTATATTGGCTTAAATATGTTTCGTCATCAAGGGTCAAAGATTTTGTAGGCAGGGGCAGACCGTAAATTTGGGGGGCCCTGGGCGTCGTGGGGGTCTATATATAAGTAATTTAAATAATTAAATCATTAGAATTAAAATAATTTATTTATTTAACACGCAGTACATGACACAGTTGTTTAAACATTATAACATCTTATTTAAAAACCTAATTCAAAATATAGAAAAATGTTTAACAATTGAAGGTATCACAACATTATTGTGTTAAAGGCTGATTGGTACATACTATATGTATACTATAGTTATAATTAATAACAAATAACATAGTACTGATATAATTAATAACAAAAAGGAAAAAAACTAAAAAGAAACAAACTCAAACAAAACAAAAAAAAAACAATCTTATTTTTTTTACTAATCTAACACAATCTAAATAAAGCTTTCCAAACAAATGAACTAAAAGTTGAAACACCCAACAAACAGAAGCGGTGCCAGCGCGCACGGTGCCGGAGACGATGCTGTTCTGCATCGAGGCGGTGCACCGCCTGCCGCTGTGCTGGGCGCACGACGAGTACCTGTTCCACGCGCAGGTGTACTACGGCACGCGCCCGCTGAAGGTGCTGCACCTCACGCATATATCCAAGATCGAGTGTGCCGGCTTCTATCCGAGGATTATATTTGATACTTGGTGAGTTTTTAAAATTGTAACTAAGCCGAATCTGTACATTTATGTACATTTTGTATATATATTTTAGAAAATTAAATTGAAATAAACGTTATTATCGATACAGAGGCCGAATCTATAGTTTTTAGAATTTTTGTCTGTCTGTCTGTGACGGCACCACTGAAAAACCACTGGATAGATTTTGATGAAATTTGGTATGATGATAGCTGGTTATCCGGGTCAACATTCAGGATACTTTTTACTGCAGGAAAATATCCTATCTCTGAGAAATCAATGCTAAACTTTAAAACGAAAGTTGAGACGAATCCGAGTGGAACGTGGGTGAGTCGCTAGTAAATTCACATAAGACTGATTATAAATGTAATATTATAAATGTTTATGGGTGGGGGAGTAGTGACAATGAGTGGTTGTGCTTGGAGGGAGGTTTATGTTGTATTATGAGTTACAAGCAAAGTTTGACCGAATCCAACTTAATATTTTAGAGCAGTATTTTTTTCTAATTATTTATTATTTTTATTAATTGCATATTTACCTGCTATTTTGCTTATACTCTTTTGACTAATGTAGCTTTCTAATCGCTAAAGAATTATGAAAATCAGTTCAGTTGTTTCTAATTTTACAGAGTAACAAATAAACAAACAAATATTTTATTGTTATTACAAGTAAGATCATCGAATCATTATCGATACATTTTTATATTTGAGATAAATAATATTGGTTACAGTTTTAATAATTAAAACTTTTAAAGGCTGAATTTGGAAGATGTACCAGTCAACACCCTGCCTCGTGAATCTCGTCTAGTATTAACATTTTATGGACGTACACAAAGAACAGATGAACAACTTCTAGCAGAAGCCCAACAGAACAACAAAGAAGGAGAAGAGAGTAGGGATGTACAGTTCGAGCAAGTTGAGCTGGGATGGGCGGCAATACAATTGTTCGACTACGATGGGTAAATATATTTTTTTATAATAATCATCAGGATAATAGTAACAATAATAGCCCTTGTATTAAATATAGTGTAAAGTTTATCATCACATTGAAAATATTTATTCAATTTTTTTGACTCAATATGAATGGGGTGAGAAGGGGGGGGGGGGTTACTCTCAACTACTATTCATTAAAAACTGAAATATTAAAGTCGGTTTTATAGGGACCCATGTAATGTTAAGCATATACAATAACATACACTCGAAATTGACAAGTTCTTTCTTTAGGTCAATTAAAATAACTTGCCAACTCCGGTTTTGTCTGATGTTTCTTCCTAATTGGACTACAATTATAAATGTGAAATGTATATGTATGTTTATTACTCTTTTTCATTGAAGCGGCTGGACGAGTTTGGATGAAATTTAGTACATAGATAGACTATATGGCCTTCTTATTCATCTGCACGGCCTTTTCCGAAGAAGAAAGAAGAAGACTATATGACCTCAATCAGGCACCTAGGGATGCAAATCGTCAGTATAAATAATAATATAAAATATAAAAGTACTATTGTGTTGTCGGCAGTATGCTAGCGTCGGGGCACTACGTGCTGCCGCTGTGGCCGGCGTGCTGCGACCGCCGCATCGGGCCCGCGCCGCACCCGCTGCACGCGCCGCCGCAGCCCTACCCTGTCGTCAATATTGGTATGTTGTTTGTTTTATTATACGTAGGTAGGTATACTACTACCACAATATAAAAATGTATTCAATATATTTAAACGAGCAATTCTTGTATATTTATTTATACCGGCGATCTCGGAAACGGCTCTAACGATTTCTCTGAAATTTGGTATGTGGGGGTTTCGGGGGCGAAAAATCGATCTAGATTAGTCTTATGTCTGGGAAAACGCGTGCGTTCTAGTTTTTTCTTTTATTTCGCACGCAAAATATTGTCGCTAATTTTTCACGCTCGGGTATATGCATCGTAGTCAAGCGGCCAAGGCACAAGATTGACAATCACAGGTGTCCGGGTTCAAATCCCGGTCGTATACAAAGTTTTTACTTTTGTTTTTTTTTGTATTTAATATTTATTTAAGTATATTTTTTTTTATAAATATGAAACATGCAAATAATTATTATTTTTCGAAAAACGTCTAGAAATTGGAACTTTTTACAGAAATTCCTATATACACCCGTACCGGCGTTAAATGGACGAGTGGCGAGGAAGACAAACAGAAGCTACCTCCAGAAGATTTACCCAAATTTGACTCTTTAGATGGTCATACACAATCGCAGCTTTTGCATTTAATAGAACAAGGAGCGTATCAGAGAATGCCAACTGAGGGTCGAGAGGTAAGGTCATGCTCATAATATTATGTTAAAACTAGTTACATCTGTACATTTACAGTAATTATGAGATTGGGTACATGTTGTCAACTACCCAATCAGACCTTTTTGGAGTTATACTTCTTTTGGCACGTTTGGAAAAAATTATGAGAGTAAAATTTTTACGATACGTGTGCACACCGACAGCCAAAAACGACATGATGAAGTTAGTTGCATTCCTCTTACAAACAGAGAATTGTAACATATATTCATAGATGGGATGAAATTTTTTGTTCTGTTACGCTAAAGAAGTATAACTTCTTACGTGCGTTTTTTGGAACTGTTAAAACGCGATTTCATCTTAGGTTTTGTACGTTTATAGCAACATATGACGTCACTTATTGTCTAATTCAATTGGCTAATTATATTTATTAACTTCAAAGCGAATAAAACTCTAATTTTATAACAAAATCAAAATTTATAATTAATCGGGTTTTCAGAGCTAAACAAAGTGTTTTTAAAGAAGTTGTATCATGGAATTATTGTGAACAAAATTATAAAACAATATTTTTTTTAAATCGCAATAGTTAGAAAAGTCGTTATATCTAACTGGTTAAAAAAGTAGTGTCACTATAACTTAAAAGAAAACTGAACGTAACAGATCCTATGGGAGAAACGTCAGTATCTAGTGGAGTTGCCGGGCGCGCTGCCGCTGGTGCTGCTGGCGGCCACCACGTGGAGCGGCGAGCAGCGCGAGCAGCTGGCCGCGCTCATACAGCGCTGGGAGCGCCCCACGCCGCTCAACTCCATGCATTTACTGCTGCCCTGGTATGTTCATATCTATAGAGATAAATAAAATTGTGAAGTGTCTGTTTGTAATGTCAAAATAACAGCTATTTACTTGCATATGAAATTATATACGGTACTTATAAGAAAAACACAATTTTTAAAAGTTTTGTCTGTCTGTCTGTTTGTTCCGGATAAACTCTGAAACGGCTGGGCTGATTTGGACGAGACTTTCACTGGAAGAAAGCTGATGTTATAGGGAGTAACATAGGCTACTTTTATTTTAGAAAAAGAATTAAGGTTCCGCTCAAAAAAATTAAAACGTACCTAGGGACGAACCCGAGCAAAGCGAGGGTGAGTCGCTAGTCTATACTAATACTAGCAGAATCCACGGCTACGCCCGCGTTCAATCTATACACAAAAAAAACTCTTTGGCTTTATGTTATACAGCGACTCACCCTCACTTTGCTTTATGTTTTTATATAATATTGTCCCTACAAAATTACTAAAATGGCGATTAAAAATGAGGGGTGGGGGTAGGAGACTAAAAAATACTTTAAGACCTATACTCATACCTAACAAATATACAAAAAAAAAAACATTAAAATTGGTCGAGCCGTTTCGGAGGAATGCGTCCACAAAAACCGCGACACGGAGATATGTATATTGTTAAATTATTATAAAGAGGCAGTTTGTTTGTTTGATTGAACGCGATAATCTCAGAAACTACTAATCCGATTTGAAAAATTCCTTTTACCTTAGATAGATTTTCGCTAGTTTCATATATTATGACTGTTTTATTTTCATACCGTAGTTTGAATGTCACATGAATTGACCAATAAATGAGTCGCTACACGTTTGCGTTTTCAACCACTTAGATATGGCGATTGTTTAATCTGTACACTGTTTTATCTGTATTATTATATGAATTATATGAACATGAATTATTGTTATTCAATGTTTAAATAATATTATGGTACGATATAATTTTAAAGAAAAATAAAACTCGATATCTCTTCCGCAATGGAAGTTCAAATATGGATTTTAAATTTTTCCAATTCTTCGTGAATCCGCCGTGGTGGGTGATTTCGTTTTAACATTTGATATCAGCCATATTGAAAATAATTGGAACTTTCAACAGTTGTCTTTTAAATCTAAACTCTTAAATTTCGCGTAGCTTTCCAGACGCAGCAGTTCGTAAATTGGCAGCAGATTTAGCGAACGGAATGTCGGATGACGATTTGATACGATTGTTGCCGCAACTCACACAAGCGCTTCGGTATGAAACTTATGAAGCCAGCCCTCTAGCCGGTACGTTTTCATCATTAAACTTATATTTAATAACGAATTTGTTTTATTATTTAGTATAATTTTAATATAGTGAAATACATAAATACGTAATATAATTAAATATTCAACAATGTTTTTTTTAGAATTATTGTTATCGCGCGCCCTATCAGCACCTGCGGTAGCGCACAAATTGTTTTGGCTCCTAGTCCATTCTCTGCCTAATGTACCACAGGTAATATTTTCATTTTATACCTTAGTGTTAAATATATATTAATATATTAATAATAATAAAATAAATGGTTTATAAATATATATTTTTTTAAATTATTTTTTTTTGCTCTTTACCAAAATGTTATTATAACTTAAGTTTCGAATTTACTTGTCTCATCGTGATATATATTTAATTTTTATTTATAATTATTTTTCTCTATATAAATTGCATGTAACGATTATTACGCCATTTTAAACACTTTAAGAGTTTATCTTATCTATCAAAAATTCTGTGAATACCTTTCCATTCCCTAGGCCCCAAACCAAGAGTTCCTAGGCATAAACCTAGACGAGAGTGGTGGGGAGTGTGTCGAACTAGACGCGTGTATGACCGCGACGTGGCGTCACCGCCTGCTGCTGCGCGCGCTGCTCGCGGTCGCCGGGGAGAACCTCGCGAAGACGCTACTGAGGCAGCAGCTGTTGGTTAAGGTATTGTAATTTACTATATTTATAATACTTGTGCAAAGAATGCGATTAGTTTGATTTTTAAATGATTTTACTAATATTTTTTATATATTTAGGTATATTCCTATTAATAATATTTATTACTTAATCATAATTAAGCTTCTTGTTCTCAGCTACATTTGGTTTTAAAATGATCAATAAATGTAGAATAGTATGTAAGTTTTATTTAAATATTTTTAGACACATATTTTTAATATGTGAGAATATTATTATATCTTTATAAATACTTTTATTTATATATAAGAATGTATTAAAATGAGTCGAATAGTAAAAAAACTGTAGAGGGCGTTATGAAAATATGTATGTATATAAGAATTCCATAATTGTGTTCTCGTTAAAATAAATTGACGTATTGTGATTTGAAAACCTCAAATTGTGATAGGCAACAAAATGTATTATATTTAATGTATCAAGTTTTAGTATTAATTAATATTAAAATATAATAAATGTAATCTAAATAACAGGGGCGGCTTGTGAATTTGGGGGCCCCTGGGTCTTAACTGTTATTATGTCTATAAAATTTATAATGATAGATAGTAGTAAATGAAAAAGACAACGAGTTTGTTTAGTTTTTAATTGATCTTAGGGTCTTAAGTTTTATTATTTAAAAAAAAAAATATTTTATAATTCACAACATTATATATATTGTATCTTAGGGGCCTTAGCTGAAGCCCAAAAAGCCTATATATAGATCCGCTCCTGCTAAATAAATAAATAAAGTAACATGTTCTATCCCCCGGTGCACAGACGGTGGCCGACGTGGCGATGTCGGTGAAGTGCGCGAAGGAGGCGCAGCGGCCGCGCGCGCTGTGCGCCGGCGGCGAGCAGCTGGCCGCGCTGCTGCGCCGCCAGCCCGCCGCGCTGCCCTTCGCGCTGCACCGCTACGTGCACGACATCGACGTCAAGTTAGTGGACACACGCACGCACACACATGACTGGCTTTATAATACGATTTACACGTTTTTTTTATAATCACATGAGTGGTGTACGACATAAATCCAAGAAAGCTAAAAGAGTTTTTTTTTGTTTTATTATTTGTACCATTGTACTGTACTGTATTATGAGTAGTGTTAATCGATCCATTACATAGTATCAGATATATTCATCTAAATGTGTTATGTATATTTATATTGTCATAATTTGTAAGCTTATACAATCTCTGATTTTTAGATCCTGCTCATATTTCTCATCGAACACGTTGCCTTTGAAAATCAATTTCATTGGTGTTGACAACGCAGTTATACCAGCCATGTTCAAAGTGAGATCTCTATTATAATTTCTTATTTACATTCGTTAATGTTGCATTATATATTTATCAATAATGTAAATTAAATACTGTTTGCAGGTGGGAGATGATTTAAGGCAAGACTCCTTAGTGCTACAAGTTATTAAAGTAATGGATAGTCTGTGGCTTAAGGCGGGCCTTGATTTGAGAATGGTGACCTTCCAGGCTTTACCGACTAGCAGTAAAAGAGGTAGGTGATATATACTCGTATTTAAGACGGTACATGGAAGAAAATTTGATCATTATTAGTGAACTAAAAATACTTACATATTTAATAATAATTTTCTAACGCTGTGTACTATCATCACTGTAAAGATCAAGCATCTGTATTATTAATGTATCTTTATATGTATATATAATTCTTCTGTACGTCTGTACGTCACTGAACTCTCCTAAATGGCTGGACCGATTTTGATGAATTTGTTTGTGTTTGCTTGAGTGGGTCCTTGGATGGTTTAGATTCATATATGGACCCGCTAGGTAGCGCTGCTGTCGGGTTTTAAGTGCAGAATTTTATGTGAAGGCTATGGTGAATAGCGAATATGGTCAAGACTATAATATTATTTCTAGGTATGATAGAGATCGTATCAGAAGCGGAAACTCTCCGGGCGATACAAACAGAGTGGGGTCTGACTGGCTCCTTCAAAGACAAGCCCATAGCGGAGTGGTTGGCCAAGCACAACCCCTCTGAACTGGAGTATCAGCGTGCTAGAGATAATTTCACTGGTTTGTTATTAGAATTTATTGATTTATTGTTCTTATTCTTTAACTGTTGGGTCTGAATTTTTGATATTTCATTAATAAATGAGATATATTTTTACAATATCAATGGTTACCATGGCAACAAACAGTTATCAGCTAACTTCATCATGTCGCTATTTGGCTGTCGGTGTGCGCGTGGATCGTAAATTTTTTTTACTAACGTCCCAAAAAAAGTATAACTTCAAAATTGATGAAGTTTTTATAGATTACATTTTTATTTCAGCGTCATGCGCGGGCTACAGCGTGGCTACATATCTCTTAGGGATCTGCGACCGACACAACGACAATATCATGTTAAAGACCTCCGGCCATCTCTTCCATATAGACTTTGGAAAGTTTCTGGGTGATGCGCAGATGTTTGGCAACTTTAAGAGGTATTTATAAAAATTAACGGGTTATTTTAATATCAGTTTATTTGGTGAAAGATTTTAAGAGAAACTTTAATTATTATTTATTTTTCGCATTTAGAAAAACACATAATGGGCAGATAATGGCGGAAAATAGCTTAGACTGCTTGTGTCTATGCGTGATATATTATGACTTTATTTTTATCGATGTTTTTATCAACGAGCAGAACCACAGACAAACGCTAGTAATAAATATTATAAATATTTATATTACTACTAGTTACTCACGCTTTGTTTGGGTAGATCCATAGGTCTATCTGTGTGCTAAATTTTACCAAATCCGGCCAATTTCAGCGTGAAAGGGTAACAAACGTACACACATACAGTCCGTATACATAACAGTAGTACGATCCGTCCGCAGAGACCGAGCGCCGTTCGTGCTGACGCACGACATGGTGTACGTGATCAACGGCGGCGAGCGCCCCACGCAGCGCTTCCAGCACTTCGTGGAGCTCTGCTGCATGGCCTTCAACATCGTGAGGGCGCACCACGACCACATACTCGACCTGTTCGCTTTGGTTAGTCATTGTATATTAACATCACTATAGTATATTTTTTAATCTCAGCGTGAGAGAGTGGGTTGCCAGTTTGCAATTCGTAAAAAGTGATGTGTTTTTTTTTATAATAAGTTATCCTCAAAAAATGTGTAGGTACTTATTTAAAACGTAATAATGCAAATTTAAATTTAATAATGTGGATTTTAATAATACTTAATGATTTAAAATTAATAAATATGATATTTAATGATTTAGAATTAATAATGTGAATTTTAATGATATACTTTGGAATATAATACGTGAAGCAAAAACTTTGTGCCCCTTTTTACGAAAATTGCGAGGACGGAGGAGTATGAAATTTCCCACACTTATGGTTTATATAGAGAAGGAGTGCAGAATCTAATATTTTTTTTAAATTATGCATAAAAATACATTAATTTAATAAAAAAAAAACATTACACTAACATGTATTTGACACAGACCCGCATATATACTCTTTTGTTTATTGTTAAAGTCTGTGGTCAAATAGAGAATTATGTATTAACACGTGAAGTAAATATTTGTATTCCTTTTTAGGAAAAAATGATAACATATAATCATGGTCGAAGTTCGACCACTCGGCGAACTCTAGTAATAAGAAATATTTAAAAATGTAAGTATGTGTCGGTCAGATGGCGATGTCGGGCGTGGCGGGCGTGTCGAGCGCGGCCGTGGCGTACGTGCGCGCCGCGCTGCTGCCCGCCGCCTCCAACGCCGAGGCCGCCGCCGCCTTCGCCAGGCTCATACACTCCTCGCTCAAGAGCAAGTTGGTGCCTAACGCTTTATCTATACATACTGTCTGTTTGTACTCGTTATGTCAAAAAAACAGCGTTTTACTAAATGCATATGAAATCATATACGGTACTTATAAGAAGAACACATTTTTTTTAATTTTTGTGTCTGTCTGTTTGTCTGTTTGTTCCGGATAATCTCTGAAACGGCTGGACTGATTTTGACGGAACTTTCACTGGAAGATAGTTGATATTATAGGGAGTAACATGGCTACTTTTACTATAGAAAAAGAATTAGGGTTCCGCTCAAAAAAATTAAAACGTACCTAGGGATGAACCCGAGCGAAGCGAAGGTAGGTTGAGTTGCTAGTTTTTTTATATACATACTACATAGAGCAACTTTTCTTGAGTTTCTCGCCGGCTTTTCTCAGCAGAACTGCCTTCTGAGACGGTGGTAGATTCCTCACGGACTACACCGACATTTTATTTTAATTTAAAATGTAAAACTGACGATTCAAAGGTGCTTGTAAAAAGTCTATTTGAATAAAGTATATTTTGATTTGACTTGATACATATAATTTATGTACATGTCAGTCATACGTTATTTTGGGCTTACTAGGAGGTTCTCAATCTTGTGCTATAAATATTATTTGTTTTTCTTTTTTTAAATCGTTAAATCATTTTTCATTTATTTTTTTCATAGTATTCCTTTATTTAAATTTTTTCCATAATTTTTCAGTCTCTTACCCCACTTAGTTCAGTCTTTAACAGTAGTTTATATGTTACAGGTCTATGAACTGGAGTAACATAAATTTATCTGTATTAGGCTTACTAAATTTCATCAAAATTCTTTTAGCCGTTTCAACGTGAAGAAGTAACAAATACATATACATACATACAGACTCACATTTTAATATGTACTATTATAAGGCGCATTACATATTCTTGACAAGTAAGTGATGAACAACTATAGATATAGTTGTGAAAAGTTGTATAATACCTATTAGTTACACATATTTTTTTATTTTACTAATAAAAGGAATTTGGATATTAACAAATGTATTTTACATTAAACAGGTTCACGCCCATAAACTTCTTCCTTCACAATCTGGCACAGCTAAGAGCGAGCGGGGACCAGAGCAACAACACGTCTGAATTATTATCCTTCATGTCCAGGACTTATACGTGAGTTTTTTTCTATTGTTAATTTGTTCATTTAATTAAGAATATATTTTACTAAATAACTTTTAATATACCATGTATATCATACATATAGACATAATTCGTTGGCTCACTATTGCAAGGTTCTATGTTACAATTTTAGTACTTATTTAGTTATTAATGCTACAAGGTTCTATGTGTCATTAGCTACAGAAAAAAAACAAACCACTAGATAGCGGCACTATAACTACAAAATATTCAATTTTACATAGTTCTATGTTGGTTTTTTTACGATGACAAAATAACGAAGTTCTATGTAAAAATTACTAAACTTCATTAAAATTAACATAGAACCTTGTAATAGTAAGCCAACGATATGGTGAAATTAAAGAAATAAAATCAAAATAAAACATATTTTGTATTACAAAATTAATTTTATAAATAACTAAACATACTTAAGAATTGGAAGAAAAGAGACATGGCATTAGTTACACAATTTGAAAATATTTGTGTTATTATCATTGTGATGATGCTTATAGTTAGAAAAATTAGTTTTTTTTATATTGTAAGATACTATAGTACCATTGCCCTTTTCTTCAAAATGATTCTATAATTTTACGTATAAATTATACCCACAGTATGGCTCAAGAAGGTCGACTAGTACGAGTGGAATGCTTAAGTTACGAAAAGCGTTACGACCCAGAAAAGCACTACGTGTACGCGTTGAAAGTGTACAGGCAAGGACAAGCCACGCCCTCAGTACTCTACCGCTCGTACAAACACTTCACCGAGCTCTACCAGAAGATCTGCTTGCATTTTCCTTTGGCCAAAGTTCACAGGTAAATCTCTTTCTGACTCCATCTCTATCTATCTAACTCTATTGTTAAAGTGTTAAGTAAAACAAAATATTAATTATCTATCAAATTATACTAATAATATATTATAATAACCTGAAAGTATAATTTACGTCTACGATATAATACAAATATTATATGTAATTTTTACCCATAATCAGTCAAAATTATTGTGCCTTTATATTTTGATTAAAAATCTAAGCTTCGCTATTAACATCCCTAGTTTTGGAAGTAGCAATATTATACTGTAAATCCAAATGTGTTTGCTTTGGTATGGTTTTGGTGACTTTAGGGCGATTTATCTGCTGTCTGTGTTGTGAGATTAAGTCCCAACTGCCGGTGTCTTCGGCTGCTGCGAAACTAATATTTCCGGTATTGTCACGTTTGTTCAGTGCGACTTCCGGTGGGGAGTAAGGCGGTGGACCACTACTCCTGCTTATGGAACTTTCTAGAGTGTTCGTTGAATACTGAGACGTTGCCTGCGGTGCAGGGTTCTGAGAAACTTTTACAGGATTCTTTTGAAGATGTCTTATTGGAATGTTTTGAGACACTTGTACTGTGTTATTTTGAGCCGCCTGTACCGTATTGGTTTGAGGAACGGCTGGTTGCGGGGCAGGTGTTGGTTGTGGAGCGGTTCGTTTTCGAACTTTTTTATTTCTTTCCGGCGTTTGTTGTGTCTTTTGCATCTGCTTTTCTCGTTCTCTCCTCAGCTTTTCTTGCTTTTTCTGTTCTTGAGCTGCTAATTTGTCGCGTTTCTTCTGTTCTAATAAACGTTTTTTCTCTATTTTTTTCTGTTCTTTAATTTGATTTTGTGTTAGGCCGGTATTCGCTTGCGGCACATTAGGAGTGCTATTACTATTTAAATTTTTAGTTAAATTGCTACTTAAATTTACCGGTTCAGGCGGAGGTCTTGTTAAGTCGCTGGTGCTTTTCGACTGTCTTTCAATGGGGTTCGAGTTCGGTAATTTGACCATAGATGGTGTAATTTTCTTTGGAGCGTCTAAAATTGTACGATTTCCTGAAATGGTAATACTTTAGAAGTAGCTTAAAAATCTTGTGAATTTTGTCTAAATTTAAGAGAAATATTGTAAGAATCACAGGTATTTTAAATCACTAAATTAAATTAAAAATTAAAAAAATAATAAGGATGGTCGGGGGGACCATCCTGGGCCGATTTTCATCAAACATAGCTAAGAACACTCCTGACTAATTCACCTTTCAAATAAAAAAAACCAAAATCGGTCCATCCGTTCGGGAGCTACCATGCCATAGACAGACACACATACAGATACGTCAAACTTATAACACCCCGTCGTTTTTGCGCCGGGGATAAATTATACAAAGTGGTGACTCATCACCTTTTTAAAATCATATTAATGTAACAAACTATGAAATCTTAAAAGAAAAACTGCAACTTTCAAACGAAATATCAATAACTAAAATATGCTTTAAACAGTAGTTAAAATATATATGGGATCATCATTAGAAGTTCACTTAGTATCTACTTAAGTTATTTGGACTTACCGGCAAATTCGCTGTTATTAACCCTGTATGCACCAGTGACCCTTACGCCCGGCGATGAGTCATAGTGACCAACGTCTGTCTGTTTTCCTGAAGACACGTTTAGAGAAGCTTTGAATCCTTTCATAAAACGCAGCATTATTAAGCGTGTAATCACTAATAAATTTGAAAGTGACTACAATCAGTGAAGTTTTTGCCTAAAATAAAACACGATATCCTTTAAAAAGAATGATTAATTTGCGGATTATTATTTTATCTATGAAGAAATGGTCTTTATCTCGTTTACTCACCAATAAAAGAGTAGTGCAGAACGCAATGCAGAGTAAATATGGCATAGGTCATATCAGCGTGAACAAGTTGTAATCAACAACGTGTATATGAAAACGGGTAAAAAACTGTAGTCAGCGCAAAGCTTTTTTTTACACTCACTGATCAAAATCTTTTATTAGTTTTACTAATGTAACGTTATATATTTTGTTTGCATTTATCAAACTTCCTTTCTAATACTGAATCGATACTTGTTTCCAGTGAGATAAGATAGTGCAAAGTATCGACAATAAAGTACGCAATGTAACAATCTTATCACCGCTCGTTTTTGCTAATCGATTTTCACATATATCTTTTATTTTCGTTTATCAGATTGATTAATAACATATGTACCTCCTTGTAACATTTATCTCATCGTATTACTGAATTATTTGTATTATTATTAATATAAATTTTAGTTATACCTTTTTATTTTACAACAAATGAAGTTAGTTCTGTTTAATTCGTTTTAAAATGGGCAAGTCCAGGACAATTTTACGCCGATGTCAGGTAGAATAGAAGACGTAAAGGATATATGTCGTTAAAATAAACTTATGTAATCCATACTATGCTATATTACTTAATATTATAAATGTGAAAGTGCCTCTGTTTGTCTGTCTGTTACATTTTAACACCTAATCTGTTGAAACTATTTGGATTAATTTTGGTATAGAGATAGATGGGATCTTAGGAGTCCTTGTCTAAGGTATAGGTTACTTTTTGTACCGAAAAGAAAATTTGAAAGTGGTGAAAAGAAAGTATGAAAGCCCTATGTTTTTACTAATCGATATTAGATTTATACAAAACAAACAATAATATTTTATAATAAAGATCAAAGAAAGCGAGTGTGGGAATATTATAAATACAAAAGACGCAGCGGTTGGATGCGTAGAGCTGAAGATCGAGCTCAGTGGCGTACCATAGGAGAGGCCCATGTCCAGCAGTGGACGAAAGTGATGATGATGATATTAAGAGTAGAATTTTTATTAACCTTAGCGTATTATTCAATTCCCAGCTTACCTTCTGGGCTGCACGTGGGCAGGTCGAACATACGGCAAGTGGCAGAGAAGAGGTTCGCCGACGTGCAGGCGTTCCTCACTTCGCTGTTCAGCTTGGCGGATGAAATAGCGCATTCGGATCTCGTGTACACGTTCTTCCATCCGCTGTTGAGAGACCAGCAGGATGTGGAGCCGCAGAGGATGAAGAAAGGTAAATATTGTAGCTTGGTTTCATATGTATGTATGGATAATAATTAGATTAATTTCGACAGCGGGTACATTTGAGCACAAGTGGGATTATACCCTGACAAAAACAACAAATACAAAATTCTGCGATATTTTGTAAGTCGTTATTTATTTTATGCTAGTGATTTGTCACTAATCGCTATATATATATATATATACCTGTTGTTCTGTGTTCGTCGGTTGAAAAGTAGGTAAAAATAGTAAAAAGACTATATTTATTTTTATAAAGATTAATTTTTGATACTGTAAATCGGCATTTAAACATTACTTTAAAAAACTTTTTTTAGCATAAAAATCGATAAATAATAAATATACGAATATGGTATCTTTGTAGAACTCGTAAATGTCTGCATATTTGCCTCTTTTCATTTACAAAGTGTTTTCACTTAATTAATCACTTGATCACCGTTCGCCGATAAATCAATCAAGCAGCGATATCTCTGCCGATTTGATCCATTATTAAAAACACCACATTTTGCCTGGAAAAATGCAGAACGTAAACGAAATTCCTGATACCAAATACGTTTAGTAAATTTTGAAATGAACACGTACATACGTACAAAGTGAAGGACAGATAAAAAATTATCATCATCTCCATTCTAAGTGTCATTGGCGAAATAATCTGTGCACTTTGCTTTGACTGAATTATTAACAAGAAAATTGAGTTGAAGATAACTGTTTGGGGCAATGATAATAACCAATTTCCAGGATGTCAAAAAAAACTAAATGATATTTGCAAAAACACCCATTTGGGGACTCGCTCAGAACATTCCGTAATAAAATTTTATTTAGTGATAAATTAAATAATTTTAATATAAATAAAATACAATTACCTACTGCGACCTAGACCGAATTCCATTGTGATAACTTTCATTTGATTATACCGTATAAATGATTTATAAACTTCCCAATTTTCTATTTCATACTAACCGTTAAAACGTACTCAGTGATGAACCCGAGCGAAGCGAGGGTGAGTCACTAGTAAATAAATAAATTATCATACGCAACTTTCTGTATAGTCCAGTACTGCTTAGTAACAATCGGTTTTATCTCCAGGCGAGTCAGTGGAAGCCGAGAGCAGCGGGTCGGGGTCGCTGAAGCTGTCGGTGCAGTACGCGGGCGGCGTGCTGTCCGTGCTCATCCTGCACGCGCAGTCGCTCGCGCTCACGCCGCAGGGCCTGCCGCCCAACCCTTATGTTAAGGTACACTTTATGTTCAACTGCCTCGGTGGTGTAGTGGCTAGCTTGTACCAAATCGGTCAGGCCAAGTTTAGTCTTTCTGTTTAGTATGCCTCAGTTACAGACAAGAGTTGGGAAGTTGGCGGTGTTTCACCGCCGTTCTTCGGAGAGCACGTAAATCCATCGGTCCTGCGCCGACACTCTCACTGGTCGTGTCTCGCGTCGTCCCACCAGAGTATGAGAGTGACAGGAATAGAGAGTGCACGTTGTGTTTGCGCTCTCTCTCACACGCGCTACACTATAATATCTCCTGCGCAGTTGGTTAGTCTCAATGAGATTGGCCGCCGTGGACGGAATCGGTCAGGAGGGCATTATATTATTATTATGTGCCTCTTACTAGCCTTGGTACTGGTTACCTTGTAGCTACTTTAGGCTGGTCTATGGTCTCAATAGAAGTAGAAAGTAACGAAGAAGCTATCAATACAGAATGTGCTTATATCACAACGTGGAGAAGACACGAATTTGAAATAAATAATAAGTCAGCTGAGTTGACAAGTAAGCCATATAAAATGTATGGGGAAATGGTGTTTTGACAGCTCATAAAAATGGTCAATTGAGTGATGGTGTCAATTACCCAATTATATATATATATATATATATATATATATATATATATATATATATATATATATATATATATATATATATATATATATATATATATATATATATATATATATATATATATATAATCCCTCAACGACCGCGGTACCGCCGGCATTACAGTTAACAGTAGATTTCTTAGAAATTTAATAAAATTAATTTTTCAGGTATATTTAGTCCCAGATCCAACCAAAGAGACGAAACGTAAAACGCGCGTGCTCAAACGCAACTCCCACCCGTCTTTCATGGAGATGCTCGAATATCGCTTGCCCATAGAAGTGATAAAGAATCGAAGCCTTCAAGCAACAGTGTGGCACTACGACTCGTTACAGGAGAACCAGTTTCTTGGAGGGGTTGTGATCCCCATGGGTTCTCTGCAATTAAGGCAAGAGACGGTCGCGTGGTACCCCCTCGAGTACATACCGCGGTAACTATTGCTTTCCCGCTCCGCCATATGGAGCACTGATATACCAATCAGATAAGCGAATTAAGTTTAGACTGAATCCCCTTAATTTATTATGCAAAGTCTAAGGAATGAACGGTAATGACATTGTATATGGCGGTAGTCTAGCAAATTCTAATCAAAATATGTATTGTATGTAGTTCGTTTAACTCTAGCTAATCAAAATTTGTTGCCAAAGTTGAATGGATATTGGGAATTGATTTTCGAGTTGTTTAAGACTGTTAAATTAAACAATGGGGAATTATGTGATTCGAAAGTAATTATAAACATATCTTCGGATGTCGCTGTGTCGTACATTTTTTTAAGCCACTTAAGTATAATCGATTTTATATATTAGATGTTTTATTTTATTTGAGACTGTGGGGCTGTCGCGTTTCACTGGTATCAACAACGAACTGTCCAAATATTAGTTTTGTAAAACGGTTACATACAGGGGAAAAAATGTTATGAACAGACAGATCGACACTTGCAAAGAACAACATTGTAACTTTGTATTGGGATAATTTAAAAATAAAATAAATTTCTCACCTATTAATAATAGTCCAAATTCAAAATGGGTACAGTACTGAGTTACAATGTTGTTCCTTGTCGAGATACCGTTCGCCATCTCATGTATTTTTGTGGCTTCGTTAGTTAACAATTTAGCAAATTCAATTATTACTGAATATCGAGTTTCTAAAACATTTAAAAGACCAATTTTAAAATTTATACTCGATATTGCCTTAAAATTGCAAGGTAATTGAAATCCCACATACATACCGCTTTCTAGTTAAATTTACCTTAATCTCTTAATCACAATATAAAACGTGCATATCATTGTAACTTTAGTATTACTATGTACATCTAAACGAAATGCTTTAATGTATTGATAAATGTGGCTTGCATTTCATTTGCAAATTTTATGGTCATCTATATGGTGAATGTCATCTATATCTTACTATATATATGTATAGGTGATGGGGTCACTGATAAATCCCAACGTGCCAAAATCTATATATTTAAAAATCGAAATATATATATATATAATGTATTATGTACATATAATGTTACCTATGGTCTCCAAAAACGGCTGGAGCAATTTTGATAAAGTTTTCTGGCAGTCTTCAGATTAGCTTAGGGTGTGATGCTGTGAAGTTTGATAGTTGGTATTAAATAAGTTCGATCATTATCTTGGCGTTTTCAGTGACCACTTCACTTTTATTCTAACTACATTACTTTTTATTGATTTCAATACTTTAATTATGAACTTTATTTATACTTACTTGAATTTGTTGTAACAGGGTCAATTAAGACAACATTCATAATTTTTTCATATATTATGTCTATATATTATCCTACTCATACCTCGTACAAATTAAACGATACTAATAAAATAATTATAAATAGTTAAATACTGGTCACGTGACTTACTTAATTACCTACTTCGTTAGTTTTAACACTAAGTGTAAAAGCAATATTTTCCAAATGAGTTATTATAAATATAAATACTAAATAGTGTCAAATCCAATCAGGTATATAACTATAGGTAATAATATGGGCGGCGGCAGATTTTTTTCTAGGGGAGTGCATCTGCTTCTTCACATTAAACTACTAACTAATCTTTAAATGATTAATTTTGTAAGTTTTATTTCTATGTTATATATCTTCTTTATTTCGCTTATTTCTAAATTTAAACAAAGATTTCATTATATCCATTTTTTGCTTTAACTTTTTCTGTGTATTTTTCTTTATGGTAGGGGGTGCAAGTGCCTCTTACACCCGACGCCTATGGGTAGTATAAACGTTTAATTCTATATGATATATATAATATGTGAGAATAGATACACAGATTTTGAATTAGACACGTACATGTATAGGTAATGGTAAATAAAATTGCAACACTACATGGCACAAATAAAGAGATATCATATTTTATATATATATTTCAACAATTATCCATACATTTTAATACAAAATTAGGTCTGCGTCAGGCCAAAAATCAATTTTACACATTATTATTTATTAATTAATAAAATGATAACAATAAATGGATTGATTTTTAAAATTCTTTGGTTTTTTAATACATTTAATTCAAATTATTGATAATAAATATCTATATGTAAAATATTGCACTTGTCACCTTATATTTAAAAATATTTAATGTGGTGTTTCTAAATGTAACTTTCTTGGATATATTGTATGGTTCCTGTATTCTCTAAATATCAACTATTACAACCCGCTAATAATAATAATTATAATCGTATGTACTATAATATGACCATATTTTATCATAAATATATGTATTACAGTTGTAATTACCTAATATGATATGATAATAGATACGATATTAAAATTAATTTACATGTTATTGATCAATTTTTAATAAAATATAATTGTGAATTTAACGTGTCATAAATTTTATTTAAAAGATGTTTAAATAAATCTGACGGTATGTTTATTTAATAGTATATGCTATATTCATTTTGATAAAATATAAAAGTTTTTACTTTTCGAATAAAGTTGTATTTAAGTTAAAGTGAAAAGTGAAGAGAAAGTTTATAAAGTCATTCATTCATTCAATCTTTTCCGAATGTCTTTTACAAAGTGTGGGGTTAATTTCTTTATATAAATTGGCTGATTCTTACATTCCAAATTTTTTCTATTGTATTTACTTGAATTAAATATTAATTATATAATCTGTGGTGCTTAATAGTTTGCTGCTTTAGTGTTCAGTGTGGTTTCCTCTTAGGATTGTATATGACACAATTGATAATTCATAGTAGAGATGTTTTTTATTGTGTGTGGCACACGTTTTTCTAACCGAAATTTAATGTTTACATAAGAGTTAAACTGTCCATATTTTTTTCGTGTAATGAAAATTTAAGTTTTGTTTCGAAAATAAATTACAAATATTTTAAATTTTTATAATGCGTCATAAAATATGTCTACTTTTGCATAGAATCTTGGTTATGTTTATGATTGGCTGGGGCAGCGGTTCCCAATTTTTTTTAGCCACGGAACCTTATTGATCATAATTTTTTTAACGCGACCCTATTTTCATAGTTTCATTAGGCGTCATGTCTGACAACGTTTTATTTAACTCTCGGGGCGGATCTCTGTAGTACTGTGACCCTTACAAGGAACGCTAGTGTTCTGCGGACAACCGTTTGGGAACCGCTGACTCTACAGCATTCACCAATATATCATTTGAAGATCTGACTGGTTTGCATAGTATAAGACTTCAATTGTTATTACATTTACGCGTGTTCTATATAATTTTATATTGTTTTATGAATTGAATATATTTTTAGAAGTATTTATTGGATTTGTAATATGTATTTTACATATTGTTAGATAAGTCTTATATATTTTATTTAGTGCTGGATATGTGCAAGAAATCGGTTGTCAGCCTAGACTTTCTCATTAAAATTAACTTTGTATGACCAAATATTTTCTCTAAGCAGAAAATGTACTCTGTAGTTTCTGCATTGCAACCCGTCATACTACCACTGCACTACACGAGTGCTAGTATGTTGTACATACATTGTTTTAATATAATATTCCTATTGAGGACAATAAATATTATTATTATTATACAATTTCTTCATATATCCAGCTTAAATATAATGTAGAATATTCTAGTGTAAACCTACCGCTTTTTATACTATTTGGCGTCCGCCATTTTAATAACCTCAAGGCTTCCAGTATTGCTCAAATTTATATATGAGCATTAGTTTTGCGTTAGACTGAGTGTTTGTAGCTCCTGTATATAATAAATAGGTTTTATACGGCATGAAATCTTCTAATGGAAACATAATAAACGATTTGTTGTATGTTATTTGTATTTATGTTCAATAAATTTCTGCGATGTATGGATTGTTTCGTTTAAAGAACCTGTCTTTTACCTTAAAATATTTAACTTCTAAATAAATAAAGATATTATTGGTGGTGATGGTGCTGTTAACTTTCCGCCATTTTTTATTTTTTCTTAATTTGCGAAGCACAATCAAAGTAGTAAAAATGTATAAAAGGTATTTAAAGAAATAAAAAATATTGGTTATAGGCTTTACGAAAGTGTCACGCTTAAAAGCTATTTTAAGTTAAAGATCGCTATATGAAAATGATGATAATCATTAAAAATAAACTGATTTCGTAGTATATATATGCGTTAAATGTATTTAAATAAAAGATTCCATAGATCTTAATTGGCAATCTTTTTCTCAAAATATCGCGGGAACGACAACGTAGAGCATTATGTTGCTTAATTTTTTTTGTTTATTAAATTGTTCTCAATCTAAACAATAGTGATATCGTGCGCCGCTATTTTTAAAAAGAAAGTTAAATGGCTGCAGTGGCAAATGCCAGCTGCCAGCGACCATATATTGATATATAAACGTTCGAACCCTTTTGTGACATCTAAAGCGTAGGGCTGTTTGCGTCAAATTCTTAATTTGATTAAGTCCTAAAAATAACATTTAATACGTTAAATTAATGATATTAAAATTCATACCTGATGGCCCTAAAATTATCAGACTTTTTCGCTTAAAAATATAAGAAATATTTTGTTATACAACAATATCTTCGTCATCTGTTATTCTGTATAAATAATTATTTACCCCGCGCTTTCTTTCTTTTAACCCATCGGATCCCATGTAATATGGCATACTAGCTGTCGTAGCTAAGTAATAAATACCGGGTCTGCTAAAATTAGTGTTCGGTCCAAGAACGTTGACTTCATTTTCTCCGTGATAGCAATGTCCATGTCTTACTGCTTGGACTGAAGGACATTTGAATCCTAAGAATTTTGTTGGTTCATAATGTGAGATAAACCAATATATGGCAGATCGCACATGACTGCAAAATTGCAAGCATGGCAACAGGTGATCGAACACCATCGCTGGCTGGAACTCGCCTAAAAGCATTCAAAGTATAAATAATAAGGCATATTTATTAAAACAACTTGTTTTAAAAGAGGACGAGGTGAAGTGAGTACCTATAAATATGTAAATATATTTTGCTCACTCACTAACTTGAGTGCCGACTCCAAAATAATAGTTATTAAAAAATTGTCTGTTTGTCTGTTTGTCTGTATGTCTCCCTGTTTTTTGTGTTAAATGTCTGTGTGCGTTTCACGCAAAAAGTACTGAACCGATTTTACTTTTGTCTTCTTACTCTAGTTAATATCTTTAATTCCCTCTAGAATACACCATAACTGATTCTTTCTAGTCGTCTATTAAAATGTACGTAACTAACACTGGCCAAATCTTAAGAAATACATCAAAACAATGCACTAGAAAATTATAGGTCTTAAAGAGGCCTTATGCAATAGTATATGTCTATCTCCCAAGGTTCACTCGCAACAACCATTTATATCTATTTAAAAGCAGTTATATCTATTTAAGCAAGTGTAAGTCGCTAGTATTAAGAGGGCAACGAGCTTTTTATTTTAGTTTTAGACGACAGGGGACAGAGGAGGGGGGGGGGGGGTAATGGCTAGGATGGACTTAACGCGTGCGAATTTAGGTATTTCCTTCGTATTATTAAAACAAATACACATTTTTAAAATGTACAGTGTATACGATATAGAAAACGTATAATTTTGTTATTATTAAAAAAACTGATGAACTTCCTTGAATTATTTACGCAGCACTAACGGTTTATTTTGTTTTTTAGAGATCATTTTGGTAACTTTTCTATCGAGGAAACTACAAATAATCGTGTTTCTAAAGTGTAGGATTTTTAGAATAAATTTTTATATTGTTTTATGAATTGAATATATTTTTAGAAGTATTTATTGGATTTGTAATATGTATTTTACATATTGTTAGATAAGTCTTATATATTTTATTTAGTGCTGGATATGTGCAAGAAAATATTATCCTACATATTGATTGCATAATTAAAGTTTTTATAATAAGAATACAGCAAGGGATCAAACGAACGTAATTATTTCGTAATTGCCTCGGTGCGCCCTTAATTACATTTTGTGCTCCAGTAAAAGCCATCGTCTGTTCTGCACGGTAATTGTAGACGTACATATATATGTACGCCAAATTCTTATATTTAAAAAAAAATACTTTCACTAGGCTTTAGCTCTTTGCGAAAAACTTAATACTAAATGGGATTGAAATCTGTGGCATGGCGCACCGATGTATATAATATAATTATTTTGTTAGTGCAATATTAAGAAAACATAGATAATGACATTCTTCCAACCTCCATTTACATAGAAATCGACATCAGCATCTGCGTCGGCTAAACCAAACCCATCAATATTTGTATGAATAGCGTCGACTCTATGTGCCGCGTCCGAGTTGAATCGCTCGGAACGAGGTAACGTTCGGAAACATGGCCCTGCCGGGTCCAAACCTGTAAGAAATTACGTTGTATGAATATATAATTTGTATATATTATAATCTATAATCAACTGCCTCGGTAGTGTAGTGGCTAGCATGTACGGTTGCACACCCGGAGGTCCTGGGTTCGAGCCCCCGGTCGGGCCAAGTTTAGTTATTGAGTCTTTCTGTATATTAAGCCTCAGTAACAGTCCGTAGTTGGGAAGTCGGCGGTGTTTCACCTCCGTGCCTCGGAGAGCACGTAAAGCTGTCGGTCCTGACTCCTGCGCCTTAACTCTCACCGGTCGTGTCTCGTGTCGTCCCACCGGAGTATGAGAGTGACACAAATAGAGAGTGCACTTGTGTCTGCGCGTACACTTGTGCACTATAATATCTCCTGCGCAGTTGGCTAGTCTCAATGTGATTGGCCAACGTGGCCGGAATCGGTCAGGAGAACATCATATATTATTATGTAAGTTACTGGATAAAATTATAAATTAACGGTAATTTAATACTTATAAAGGTCGTAACAAAAATATAGCGAAAACAGACTTCCGGTGTAAATGGTATGATTTTAAATTCTTATAGGTACATTAGCATATTTCAAATAATATTATCATAATAAATTTACCTACTGCACAAAAAATGGTTCAAATTTTGAATTGGAATAAAGGCTGTTAAATTATAATACTTCCTAAATCTTTTTTACTTACCTTACTATCTGATCGAGGTCATCTTAAATAGTACATGTTATTACAATAACTAGAGAGGAAGTTGTTGCTTATTTATTATTTTAGAACTGAATTATATTAAAGTATTTCAAAAATGCTATTATAAATTAATTTGAAAAGTATATAACGTATTAAAAATGTTGAGCTGTTTTATTCTATTATATGGCAAATAAAATTCAACAACAAATAATCTGTCATTTAAAAAAGAACAAGCATGTAGTCTTATAGTATGTATTCAGCTCTTTTTAACGTCCCACTGCTTGGCACGGGCCTCCCTTCAGTACGAGGGGGATCAGGCCATAGTCCACCACGCTGGCCAACTGCGAGTTGGCGAACTTCACATGTCTTTTGAAAATTTGCCAGATTCTCTCAAACATTCAGGTTTCCTCACGATGTTTCCTTCGCCGTTAAGACAAGTGGTAATCATGTTGGAAATGATTCGCACATGAAAATATTAAAGTTGCCAGACCCGGGATTTGAACTCGCTTCACTCGGGTTCCCAAGCGAGCGCGTTACCACTGGGCTACCACTGCCTAGTCTAATAGTACCTGATACAAAATAATTATATCATACCAGTGAGCCTAGCCGGTTTCAGATGCGTTAGCTTGTGGTATCTCATTGCCGCATAGTACGCTATATGTGCGCCCAAACTTCCTCCAAGCAGCTCTAGCTTATCGGGATGCAGTCCTTTGTGTGTTAAATGGGCTATGAAATCTCCTAGCAATTTGCCCAGTGGCTTTGTGAGGCGAGCCGCTCTATTAAGAAAAGAGAATAAGTTGTTAAAATTTTAAATGTATGTACAAGATCTATAAAAAATGGTCACTACTTAGACCTCAATTTGTAACTTTCACCTCATTACAAATGTAACTCGACCCTACATATTTATTTTATTTGAGACATAATATTACCCAATAGCCTTAGTTAGCCCTTAGCATAAAAGTAAATTCTTTGCCTTCGACCTAGCTTGGAGATTCATTTTAAATTAAATAAAAAGATAATTAAACTATTCATTTGTTTAAGTATTCTATTACGTTTACAAGCTCATATAAATTCAAGGTGTAAAAGTAACGACAAATAGCGTACCCGTATGCATTCGTTACTATAGCATCAGTACTCGTTACTTTTGAATCGTTACTCGTTACTTTTGATACCCGATAACATACTCGTAGAGCATCGTATCGAGTCGTGTTGCGTATGTATTGCGTACGGTATAAATTATACGTTATACCGTATATCGTTGACGTCGCGTTGTTTTCTGTGGAATAATGCACGATCAACAAACCATTTCAATTGGAGAGTTACTTGATATCCAGAACCCGTAAATTTTGATTATTTATAAATCTATATAATTTAAAAAAACTTTACTAACAATATTTTTTTATTAATAATTTTTGAAATTAAATAATAAATATATAATAATAATAGGTAATTTAAAAATGAATGAGTAACGGCATCTATCACGTTAGTGTGACGTCGTAATGCATATTTTATTTAAAATCAATTGCGCGAATGATTTATCAAATCATAATCTGTATGTATTACACATAATCACATGATCATGTCTCACGTAGGATAAATAGATAATTATTGTATTACAGTATTGTACACAATTATTATTTTAAAAGAGCCGTTGTTGAGTTTCTCGCCGGTTCTTCTCAGCAGAAAACTTTATTCCGAGCCGGTGGTAGTTCCTAACGGACTAACATTTAATTTAAAATGTAAAATTGACGATTCAAAAGAGCTTGTAAAAGTTTATTTGAATAAAGTATATTTTGATTTCATTTGACATAATCATTTAGTAAAAATTATAAGTATTTGTTGGATAAAAAACTAAAAACTTGTTCTAAATATAATGGTTGTTTCTAATTGAAAATTGTTTCTAAACAAAATTTCTAAGATCTGGAAATCATGCAACTCGAAATAAATAAATAAACTCTCTAATTTACTCATCAATGGTATTAAGTATTTACTGAAAGTTGTATTTTGCTGAATAAAAAATCAATAAAAACATTAGTACGAAAATATGTACGGAAAATGCGAATAACGAAATGCATTCGTGAGTAACGTTTCGGTACTCGGTACTAGATGGCGTACCCGTTACTCAGTAACGAATACATACGGTTTGCTACAGCTCTAATATAAATATTAATGATAATATATTGTACATATACGACGACACGTTTAGCTCAGTTTATAGTGACCCTACTTGCTGTGCCAGCGGTCGCGGGTTCGAATCCCGCTGGGGGCATTCATTTGTGTGATGAGCACGAATGTTTGTAGTTCAGTCATGGGTGTTTATATCTATAATATGTATGTTTTTGAAGTTATATATGTGTAGTGTATCAACTATCTTGTATCCATAACAGAAACCTCGTAGCTTAACCATGGAACTAGATGGTGCTGTGTGGTAATATCCCAACATATTTATTTATTTATACTTACATCGGGTAACTCCTATGGAGTACAGGGTATATTTCCATAATGATCACGTTATATCCGCGCTTAACATACGGTATTGCTACCGCTCGGACAATAGGAGAAAACGATGCATCCAAATACCCGCTTATAAATACCTGAAAAAATTAAAAACTAGAAGTAATAAAATTCTACATTGGCTTAAAGCTTGTTTCTGTCATGGATGATGATAAAAGTTTCTGTCAAATGAGGGTACATAACCAAAGTCAAATACAAAGTCGTAGAGAAAACAAGAATATTTAAAAATAACTTTTATAGGTAAGTACACTATTTTTATAAGCAACATTCCTAGTTTAAAACTTAAGATATCCAGATAAAGGACTGGATGCTATAAAAACGTTTTATTTTAACTAGCAAACTCAAGTTCTATATTAAATTCTTCTTGGTGAAACGTTTATTGCTTTTAAATAAAAATAAATCTACACATATGATAAAATTCTAACTCAGTCGAATCTGTACATTAAATATTTTTTGGAAAATCTTACTGAAATAATCATAATTATCAATACAGAGGCCGAATATATAGTTTTTAGATATTTTGTCTGTCTCTCTGTCTGGGAACACATCACGAGAAAACCACTGGACAGATTTTGATGAGGTATGATGATAGCTGGTTATCCGGGTCAACATATAGGATACTTTTTATTCTCTTTTTATATCTGATCTCTGAGAAATCTCATATATTTATTTACGCATCTTGTGATTTCATTGATGACAAACATTTAAGTGTATATAAAAGGTTCACATAAACAAAATGTTTAATTTCATTTATTGGTAAACATATTTAAATTAAGTTAATAAAGTTAAATATAAACGTCAACTTATACTGATAGAAGTGAAGTTAAATATCATATTTATTAAATAATACTATGTTAAACATTATATGTGTTACTATTGTATATAAAACTCTCACCAAAGTTTTGCCTTTCTTAAAGCTCAGGTGCTTTGCCGCGCACGCCGCGCCGCCCATGCTCAGTGGGCACACCTTCTCGTTGCTACCGAGCCAGCTGTCGCTGGGCTTCAACAGTACTACTCTGAGAGAATCCTTCGTTTTTTCTGATAGTGTTGTATTTTTGATCATTCCGGGGCCTTTTTAGGACATGAAATAATTGAATATAAAAGTAATAACTTTTTTACATATAACGTAAACCGATTTCAAAAACAGTTAGGATTATGGCTGGATTTACACTAGGACACTTGGGATAGTGCCCAGGGCGGCAAATTTTTAGGGGCGGCAAAATTCGGAGGGCGGAAGAAAAATTTTCTTCGCGTTATCGAAAATGCTTTTTTTATTTTTTTAAAAATAAATAAATAAAAAAAGATTAACTAGTAGGTACATTTTTCGAAAAATTATTATCATTTTTAAATTAATTATCTGTATTTTTCAAAAAAATAATAAATAAAAAAAAATAAACTTTATCGAAACTTTAATCATTTTATACAAAATTTCGCTAATTGGGCGGCATTTTTTACTATGCCCAGGGGCGGCGATAAAGTTAGATCCGGCACTGCTTAGAACTTAATTATTTCGCACTTTCTTTAGAATTATATGCTACAATCACTACTACCACTATTTATGTATAAGCAATTCGGTTCGCAATTGGCGAAAATTTTGAACAATGCATACAAAAAATATACACTCGAATTTAATCTTTCTTTTAAATCAATAAAAATACCAACATTGTGGTTCACCGTTAACCAATTTCAATTGAACATACAATAAACACTACGTACACTCAGCCATGAGTCCAACTGGATATCCAATATTGTGACCCGCAAAACTTAATTTTCCCAAACAGAACAAAACAATTATTAATTTCATCTTGGCGTTAAATAAAAATACATAACAAGTGACTGCTAACCAAAAAGACACAAAACTGACTGCTTGTGAGGTTTCTTAAACTCAGAAGGTCGTGTGTTATTTTCGTAAGGCTAACTTCTTAACAGAAACTCAAGCATTCGTTTAAATGCCTACCTTTGCACGCAATACGCAACTTGATAAGATACTTTGCCTCATTCGTTCATTTAATTATTTAAGTTTCACATATTATGTTCTAGCAATCGGTTTAATCATCAATTAACATAAAAATATAATTTTAAGAAATAAGATAGATGTAAGTTTAAAAATATTATTAAAAAAATACTTTTCGTATTTCATTAAAGAAAAATGTACGAAGAGGGCCGCCTCCCACCGCCTACCGAAGCTGGCCACCTCCCTGTGCGTTTCTTGGCTTCGCGCCCGGCTGTATTGCCGGGCACTACTGAGCCCCCCCACCACGACAAGGTGAACGCACGTTGGGGGGGGGGGGAACGCAAGGTCCCTAATTTATCTCTAATATTTATAGATATTAATCTTCAAATATACACCAAATATTAACAAACATCTTTGCATTTGAATAATAAATCAGAAATAATATAATTATTATTACATTATTCTACTGAAAGGATTTATACCTATCATAATATTTATTATGTAATTAGGTATATGTAGTATCAACTAGAATAAGGATAAAATAAAATAAATACAATAATCTTATGTCAAATTCATTAAAGTAAATATATCTACGTACCTCGGCTGATATAATTTCATATGACTCGTTGCTTGAATAAATCTCCATATCTTTGAGAACAATAGGTCAGTGTGTCGAGATTGTTACGAGATAAAAACGAAAAATATGCAATAATATATTAACACCACTGTTAACTAGTGAGAAAAGAATTAATTTAAATACATTATAAATATTAAAATATACTCTATATAGTAGTTTCAAGTCACATACGAGACAATTTTTAATGGGAAGCCTTCCTTCGTGTATTCATGACATTTAAAAAGAAAATGTAATTTGATGAAAAATATATGTGTGACTTGAAAAAAGTTTATTTCGTTCTAATTAATCGAGTGGGGCTTGCGATAACAAAAATATATACAATTTATATGTTTAAAAATAGTTTAGGATACTAGTATAATATACGTAATAAATTTTAAATATCCTATGGACACTCGCGTTATCAATACGAATCTAACGACTATGAATCTTTAAAATCCGTTAAGCCGTTTTGTGATTACGACGGAACATACATACATACATACATGCATACATATACATCAAACACATAAGCCTCTTTAAAAAAGATTTTTTATAAAAATAAAGATAAGCTTGTTGTAATATGTGATTCATTGCTATTTTAATTTAAAAAAAAAATATTGATCATTTTGCTCGTGGCCCCGCTCGTGGTATAGGTATTCATTTATGTACGATTGCTTCGCTACTAAGGGTGGTTCCATCATGTTAGTCTTCCTCAATAAATAGACCATAAAATGCATTAAGAAATTTTATAGATAGTTCTTATATAACTTAACGAAAATTACCTGATAACATTTTAACTAATTGATAACGAATCTGCCAGTTTTATAAAATAACACAGTAATGTAGTAAAATATTCACTGACATACCTACAACCTATTTGATAATTCACTCAAGTGGTAAATGGTATTTAAGAATTAAGAAACAGCATTGCGTTAATAGTGGTAATGAATGCTATTTAAGTTTTTTGCGATCGGCATAAACCAGTAGTAGAACCAGATTATTTTCCATTGCGCGGGAAACTTGCATCATGAACCTCATCTCAATGTGTGCAGCATTTTTTTCCGGCGAGTGGTAGAAAGCCAATTATTTACTAATGTGTTGCGCGAGACGCGAGCACCGGTTATACCGGCAGGCAGTGCAAGTCTGTAACTCCCGTCGCTAAGACGTGGACATGCAAAAACCTACCGCGACTTTGTAACGATGATTTCAGTTATATTTCAAAAAGTTTTTTGAATACAGTGTTATTTTCGTAAATAATAATCGTAAAAGATGAATGAAACCGTGGATCAAGATGCTTGGATGTGGCTACGTGATGTAATGAAGTCATGGCTGGAAGACCCTGGTGTGGAGGAGTTCCAGGGTCTGAACATGAGCAACTTGAGGATGGACCAGGCATACGTGATCGGAGTCGCTGATAGAGATGTCAGCGTTTATGAAGTTTCTGACGATTGTTTTAGAGTAAGTTTATTTATTTTCATCTATACATATGTACATATTTATAATGTTTATACTTTATTAGGTAAGTTTAATACACTATGATGATAAACTTCTTTTCAATACATATATATATATACTATTACTTACTTTATAAAATATCATAATATGTAACACTGAGACAGTTTTAAAATTTAAATTTACTTGTAAGTATAATTACCATATTCGAGCGCGAATTGAGGCATAAAAAGGTCACAATTAAATAAATTAATCATATGAGGATTTTAATTTTTGCGTAGTCTCATTAATGTTTCGACTTAATATTTAATCTTTCATGAAAAATTTCATCCTATCGTGCAATCTAAAGTGAAGAACCGTTAATCTATTTATATCTGGGTTTTCAACCCGTAACCAGTTCGATTCAGTGCCTCAATCGACAACACTCGACGAACATAACATGTTTGTTATTATTTGTATCAAAAACGGGCACCCTCGAGTGCCTTTGTTTTTAATCATTGTAACAAATGAAGGTTAATATTTGTTATCAGATTTTCAAATTATATAGACTTACTAGCATTGCCCGCGGCTCCGCCCGCGTTCAGATGACCAAAAACCAAATTCTTAGGTTTTACATATTAGTATACTCTTACATTGCAGTTTTTATATTTTTTCTCAAAAATGAGATATTTTCCCGCGGTAAAAAGTATCCTATATGTTGACCCGGATAACCAGTTATCACCATACCAAATTTCATCAAAATCCCAGTCTTTTTCCGTGATGCGCTAACAGACAGACAGACAGACAAAAATTCTAAAAACTATAGATCCGGCATCTGTATCGATAATAATGTCTATTTCAATAAGATTTTCCAAAAAATATTTAATGTACAGATTTGACTCAATTAGAATTTTATTATACGTATAGATTTAATAACAAGATTAATTTTGATATTTTTTCCTCTTCAATAAGCTACCTGAATATATCTCAGATTGAAAATTATTATCTTAACAAATCCTAAAGTTAGATCATCGAGGCAGGTCAGAATATACCTTTTTAAGTTGACATAATAAAAATTCGTGGATTAAATTAATTGCATTTTTGACACATATAACATCTAGTTGTTTAGTAAATGCTTAGAAAGTAACAATTAAACCTAATTTATAAGTAAAACTAGCATTGCCCGCGGCTCTGCCCGCGTTCAGATAATCAAAAACCAAATTCTTACATTGCAGTTTCTGTATTTTTTCTCAGAAATAAGATATTTTCCCGCGATCAAAAGTATCCTATATGTTGACCCGGATAACCAGCTATCACCATACCAAATTTCATTAAAACCCCTACAGTGGTTTTTCTGTGATGAGGTAACAGACAGACAGACAGACAGACAGACAGACAGACAGACAGACAGACAGACAAAAATTCTAAAAACTATAGATTCGGCCTCTGTATCGATAATAATGTCTATTTCAATAAGATTTTCAAAAAATATCTAATGTACAGATTCGGCTTAGTTGCAATTTTATTATATGTATAGATTAAAAAGTAAAGCTCACTTTAAATATTTTGTCAGAACTATATATTAACGTGACATTAAAAATAAACCTTAATTATGTGGTTTCTCTTATTGAAGTTCGCGATATATATTTTTTTTATCATCATTTATGTACTGAGACTAAAGGTATATTTAGTTTTATACTAATTTTTTTTGAGACGATCAAAAACTTATTTCTTTGAGAAGGTATTTCTCAGGTACATTATACAATATCAATAACAAATATCTATTAATTAATAACAATATAAACGTTATGTGCATTAATCGGTTTTGATGATTGAGCCTCAGTGAAAGTATTATTATTTATAGAATAACTTGACAGTTAAAGTCAAAGACATCTGTACATCTATACATATAATAAAATTGTAAGTCGAAGCTGTACATTAAATATTTTCATTTCATTATTGTTACATTATGATCGATGCAGAGCCCGAATCTATAGTTTTTAGAATTTTTTTCTGTCTGTCTGTTACCGCATCAAAGAAAAAGTACTGGAGGGATTTTGATGAAATTTGGTATGGTGATAGCTGGTTATCCGGGTCAACATATAGGATAATTATTATTGCAGGAAAATATCGCATCTCTGAAAAATCCATACTAAACGTTAAAACGTAAGTAGGGGCGAACCCGAGCGGAGCGAGAGTGAGTCGCTGGTTAAGAATAAGTATGTTTAATTGTGCACATATTTACTATTAAAAATAATTTTTAATATACTATGGTACTTTTATAGCAGTTATATCTAGAAGAATTAACGCGATCACTAAATTTAATTTAACAATTTACACGTTATTAAAATACGTAACATTTAATAGTTTATCGTGTCTAGTTTTTTTACATAGAGACTTGTTTTATTCTATTAGATTAACATAAAATTTGACCTTATTTGTTTTACATAGATATGAATTTATTCTAATTATATAATTAATTTTTTATGGTTGGAACACTCTCCAGGCTGTTTATAGTGATATGACTACTTTTTATTCCGATATAAATTCAGATGTTAACCTGTTGCAAAAGCACAGAACACTTTTACTCAGGAGTGCAAAAGTGACTGACAAAAAATATTTTATTTTTCCTCTGATTTGGGTTTAAAATGCATACTGTGTAATTTGTATTTATATCATAATATTTTACTTATTTTACTCATACACGAATTACTCATAAACACAAGACAGTAGATAAAAGTATTAAATCAAAACGTGATTTATTTGTTTTTAATTATTTAATTTATTATTATTACTAATTCTCGCCAAATGTTTGTTCTTAATATCATCTGCAATATGACTCACGCGGTAATCGAACCCGACGTAGTACAATGACAATGACTTACACGCGAAACTGACATGATATAAAGAGTCGCCAAGACAACAATACTTATACAATCCTTTAATTAACATCTGAGACTTTAATAAAATAAATTAAAACTGAAAAGGTTTACTAAAATTCTAATCAAAACTACAATAAAGATAAATAATTAGATACATTATAAACTTATATTATTGTATTTAGTTTGTTATATGTAAAAGGTAGTTATAATGTTATTTATATTAAGATTAATAAAGAAACAGAATTTTCTTTCGGAATCCTCATAGAAAAAAATTGAATGTCCTTCTAAAATAATGTCTGCATTTGGCAACACCAAAATTTGTAGAGTCATATTGTTGTTGTATAAAAACAAATAGTATTATTTCAAATAATTATCGATTAATATATTTTTTTTAGAAATTATTCTTTGTTGAGTGATAACATCCTGTTAGCAATACCTAGGCGTAATTATTAAGTAATTACTCGTTAAAGATTTCATCAAATATCCTTTGATACGCTTGTGTGGTTTTGAAAGCTGGTTAGATTCATGTGAACTCAATAAATAATATGATTATAACTTTAAATGCATTTACATATATTATACGAATGAGATAAAAAAAGTCAATAGTATTTTATATTCAATGAATTAATTTTTAACCGACTTCCAAAAAGAAAGTTGTATGTTCGTCTGTATGTATGTTTTTTAAGTATGTTTATTTCCGATTGTGTGTACCGTTTTATCAAACTCCAAACCGCAATATTGTCGATTTTATTTATATCTACTATACTTTTATTGTATTCCTTTTGCTACCTGACAAAAATATGAGGGAAAAAAAGAAAAAATAATAATATTAACAACTTTAAAAAGTTAAGCCTATTAGAGAAAGAGTCCGACGACAATTTTACAGGAATCTAGGGCAGTATGCGAGACAGCTTAGAAAGGATAGTGGTAATTGAAAAAATAACAAATATATAAAATTTAAATTAACATGATCAATATTCACCGAAAATAAAAATAACTAACGGATGCAATAATTATGTTATATTTAACTTAGCTATACATTATTTTTTTATAAAACTTTCCAAATTCTTTATTAAAATCCTTCGCTGCTATATGTAACGTACAATACAATATATATAATATGGACATAAACTTAAAGGGTATAGTCCCCTAATTACCTACTAACTATAATTGCTTCCGATTGACGTGTCATGGGATTTCCATAATCTAGGGGAACAGAAACATGTTGGAAAACCATAACATACGATATCATGATATCGCGTTCAAACTTTAAAGTACTTTTGCAGGTTTATTTAAAAATAAAGGGCACTAGGAAGTAATAGCAATGCGAGTGTAGTTAACTATTTTCTCTCATTCGTTTACTACATTATATATGGAAATTGATTTCTTTTTACTCCATATCAGAAATAAATATTTGCTTTTCTTTTTTTTTATTAAATTTTCTATAATAATTTATGACAATATGAATAAAATCCTGGTTTTTAAGTAAAATAATTCGAACACAACATTATAATTTTATTTATTTTTTCTACCGTATGAATATGATTAATCTATATCACGAAAACGACATAAAAAAGGTAGAGGTCTTTTAAGAAATCGATTTATTTATACTAAACAAACATCAATCAGGTCATAAAAGAAAATTATTAGACGCGGCATGTATGTCATGCATTCCAAACATGCAATTGTTCTTGTTCGGGAGAAATTACTCTTTCGTTAGTTATCGAGATACTCGTATGTGCGCTCGGGTGATGAAACGGACGAGTAACTGTTACAATAAACTATTACACGCACGCCAAATTATAGCGGTGTTTATTAGCATTTAAAGTGGACCAAAGTGACCTAGCTTAATATTGTCAAACGTTAGGTATAACATAATAATTTTCAATTTTCCAAAAGCTCCATCATCTTTTTAGAAGCTCTACAATCTTTATTGTTTTAACCGACTTCCTATTCCAAAAAGGAGGAGGTTCTCAATTCGTCGGAATCTTTTTTTTAATGTATGTTCACCGATTACTCGAAGACGCCTGAACTGATTTGGAAAATATTTTTTTGTTTCAAAGGGTATACTTCCCAGGTGGTCTCATATAAATTTTATCGAAATCGGTCGAGCGGTTTTTAAAAAAATCAACAATAAATATTTTTCTTTAAATAAATTGTTTAATCGAATATGTTATTAAACAACTTTCTTCTTACAAATTACCTGCCTCTAAATGGAAAAATACCAGCCTACAATATTTTAAGATATGAATATCTAATAGCTAAATATGTAATTTACGTATCGAAATATATCAGATTTGCTTTGCATCGGCTAACACCGACTTCGAAAATATCTGATTAGGTATCTATTCTAAATGAAAACCTCCGTTTAGTTATTTTTTTACATTTTAGTGCCTGGCACTCGGTTTTTATTTTTTGTTAAAAAGTTTTTATCCTATTTATACCCATCCCGTACTCTGACTTAGTCTATAATTTATTTGAAATTATAACTTGAATTTAACGACTTAATTGCCTTGAATTATTCTCTCAAAGTTAAAATGTAGCAACTTTAAAGTAATTTTTTTAATCAGTATTTATAAAATACTCAGGATCTTTCTCATAATCACAATTGACAAAATTTTATTATAGTGCTATACGTCCAGTTATGTAAAAGTGAAAGTATAATAGACAAAACATTTAAAATGGCATTTCCTTGAAAATTAACATACAATTTACATAAATTAATGACGAATTCAAATGTTTTTTTTTAATTTATACCTAAAATAAATTAGTCATAATTTAATTAAAACTACTGAATTTAGTTACTGGGTATATAATAGACTAGAAGAGACTATCTTGATTCCCCATACAAACTTTTATCCCCATTTTCACCCCCTTAAGGGATGATTTCTGGGATAAAAAGTATTCTTTGTCCTTCCCAGGGTCTCAAACTATCTTCTTACTAAATTTTATCTAAATCGGTTCAGTAGATCCAGAGATTACCCCCTACAACGTCACAAACTCACAAACTTTACCTCTTTATAATATTATATAGATAATAGACCTATACAAGCACTTTTGACTTTACTACATGAATATAACAATAACATCTAAGTGTACTCAAGTGGATGCTTACGAGACAAGAATAGAAAAGTCTGTATGTCATTAAAACAAATGTTATCATAAACTTGCATAATATGCATTACCACTAACATTTATTGCCCTGTTATATAAGTTTACCTTTCTTTAGATAGTTCAAATGTGAAACTGCATAATCAGACAATTAACGATGCACTCCGCAATGTTTGGCAATCTAACAACAGTGAATGTTTTTGGACGAGATTACACTTTGTTTTGTAGAAAATTATTCCTATCATTCAAAACTAGGTTTAGTTGATTCACTTGTGGATATGAGGTATAATTACAGGATTATCCACCTCGTAGGTTTGCGTGCGTATTATTATATACACAAAGTTTACGCTTTAAATCTATGTACATTCGCCCAACAGATAGAAATCAATTTGGGCAGTCAGAATATTTGCTTTATGAGTAAACTACGAATAATAAAAATTATTATATACCTTTTAACTAGCATTGCCCGCGGCTCCGCCCGCGTTCAGATTACCAAAAATCAAATACTTAGTTTTTACATATTAGTAAACTCTTACATTTCAGTTTTTGTACTTTTTCTCAGAAATGAGATATTTTCCCGCGGTAAAAAGTATATTATATGTTGACCCGGATAACCAGCTATCACCATACCAAATTTCATTAAAACCCCTACAGTGGTTTTTCTGTGATGAGGTAACAGACAGGCAGACAGACAGACAGACAGACAAAAATTCAAAAAACTATAGATTCGGTCTCTGTATCGATAATTATGTCTATTTCAATAATATTTTCCAAAAAATATTTAATGTACAGATTCGGCTTAGTTACAATTTTATTATATGTATAAATGATACTCATTGTATAAATGTTTATATTTTTGCAAACTTAACATACCCTTGATAAACATCTTTATTTTATGCGTGGTAGGTAATAATTTTAGCCAACCTATATTATCTTTACATGTTAGTTATATGTACCTATTTCTTATAGAATATGTATATCGATACATGGACAAATCTTAAAAAAAATGAAGAACATTATGCCTATCAAGCATATTGCATTAAGTTTTCTTTCCAAAGTTGAATTTATATTCTCAATGAAATATTTACATAACGTTCCTAAATGCTGGCAAAAATAATTAAAATTATTTTTTTTTGTTAAAATATTTAATTTACTGAAATATAAGTTGTAAATCTTTATACCTATTTAATATGTATTTTTATTTTAGTGCCCATTCGAGCTCCAGAAGAGTTTGACAGCGGAGTCAGAGAGCTGGTGGGTTGTGAGCACTGTACGGAAAGCCACTTGGCGGGTATATGCTGGTGTCAGCGAAGATTACATGAATATTAGGAATACTACGTAAGTAAAATAAATAACATCTATAAAATATATACATAAACTATAGTTTATAGACATTTAGAAACTTCAAATTTCCAATAGGTACTATTCGTATATTTTTTTTAAATTCATCATAGAAAAATACATTCCATTTTTTTAATTTGAACCAAATTTATTACACTCAGGTAATGTGTTCTCTTTTAATGTTCCTATTATTACATAAGTACCTATCTACTTGCTTAGTCAGAGAGTAGAGTCTTCGAAAGTAGTTTTGATGATTCAAACATTTTATCTTTAAAGCGTGTCCTGAATATTTGAACAATATTGAACTTAAATAAAATCGAGATGAAACAAAGCTTTCTACTGATTAAAATTATAAACGAGTATCGACGTCATCTGTAACTGAAGAACTTTCTTTGTTTAGGCCAAAAAAACTTAGCAACTCCTTCATTCTCTTATCGACTCAGCGACTGCTTAAGAGTAACTAGAAAATGGTAATTACTAGGAAAATCTTTTAGTTTTAGCCCACGATTACTAGCTGTCACACAATGGTTTAACAATTTTGTTAATTGAAATTGTTATTGCAAAGTTAAATTTGCTTTTATTTGCAAAATTCCTAATAATAATCTCAAAAGTAGTCCATCTAGTCCACACTTGGGGTAGGTTTTTTATTAAAGTTATACGCAATCTAAAATGAAATTATATGAGTACATATCCTAAAACTATATAAACACCCTTGTGTAAGCCATATAATCATTCTTTAAAAAAAATAACACAAATTAAAAAAAATAGTGTATGCTATTTTGTAATATATAAATTATTTCTTATATAATTTTTGATAACAATATTATTGCTTAAAAATCTTACATATCATGTGAATTAAGCTAGCTTAGAGCTTTGAAATGAATCACTAATTGTAAATAAGCGCCATTACATCTTTCTCTTCTAATATCTTTGTTATAATCCTTTTTTAAAAGATTAAAAATACAAATAAAATTAACAAAAGCCAATATTTGTACATTAGATTTCTTCCATAACTTTTCTTGTATAAATTAATTCTTATAACAATAAAGATTTGATTGTAAATTAATGATAGGTACATATTCATTGTTTAATCGAACAATGACATATGATTGAGAGATAGTGTTTTTCTCAGCTCTCTAGGTCTTTGGTCAAACGATCGCTTCCTTGATTAAAGATTCTATTAGCCAAGTACTCGTCTGTGTGATCGTGGTTTCCGTTGTGTGGGAGTCGTTGTTGAACATTTACTTTAAACGACCTATATGTTAGAAATATCTCATACCCTGTGTTTTAACTTAAGTAAACAAGAAAGACTAACGAAGTTCTCAAAATATTCCTTAAAATTATACCGAGATCAAAACTATTTTATGATTATTTCTAGTGTCATATAATAGATAAAATTCTGTCGCAATTATTCACAAAACACATTTCTAATGAATATTGATGAATATTCAGATGTAATTAAGTTATTTACTTAATATGTCTTTAGTTGATATGTATGTTTCTTACAGAGGCTTGCTATGCCAACTGCGGCCGAATTTAGGAGAGTTTGGGGTGTACACCCTAAATGCGACCGGCGACGGCTGCGACATACGCACGACGCGAGAACCTGTTGATATTTATATGCGTAAGTATTAAATAGTATTTAATATAGAATTTGACAAATTATACTTAATTTTACTTTTTTACGGTTTATTTTTTACCATTACCATCAGACTTGATGCGGACCTAAAAATAAGCAAATCTCTCACGGACTTAAAAATATACTTAAAATAAATTATTTTAGAAACAAAAGAATAAAGATACTAGAATATTTATGAACTAAGTGCATAATAATATGTAAGTTTAAAGTAGTGAACTTAGATACCTCGAGTATAATTACAAGGTAAGTCCTGCTCCAGCAGGTACCTACCGAATAGAAAATATTATTTTATTTATCCGACGCCAATTATTTATTTTTGTACTTTTTTAATTGACTTAACTGTAATCCTAGGGCAAGATTTGTTGGTGTAAAAGTTCCCGTTTGCTAAGAAACCATAAATTCTTGTCTTCTCTAAAGGATTGCTACTCTTCCAGATCAAGACCATTTTATTTCTACAAAAGCTGAATGAATAGTGACTTCGATAGCCTGAACAGTATTTTAAGTATTAACAAAGCCAAAAATTTTTGCAAAGATGTTTTAAATTAGCAATGCAGATATTGGAAAAAAATAAAATGCTATATTTAGTATAATCATAATTTTCCTGCTGCATTTGGCGCGTGAACCTTGACACTAATATTATAATCGATGTCCTTGTTTTGAAAACTGTCGTACCTTTTATCATCTATATCTTAAGTGCGTCTTAGTTTATAGAATTGGTCGTTTTGATATTTTTTTGATTGTATTTCACTAGTGTTCTGTACTATTTCTTATGCTTTTTATGCGTCTCGGTGTTATATGAAGTTAAACTTGGCAGTGATCGACCATTTACTTTCTAACTATCGCGCTGACACTCCCATTTATCTGCCAGATAATAAATCTATTAAGTAAAACGTTTTAAATTGAACATGATTTATTTTCTTTTATTTAATAAGCATGACCAACATTCCAGGTACAGACATTGTCATCTGAAGCAAATTAATTTGTATTGCTTAAACTGGATATATCTATGTTAGTATTAATTATTAAATATAAACGTTTAAATTATAAATTTAAATAGAAACAATACATAATTGAATTAGAAAAAGATAATCTAAGGAATCATTTACATCTTTGACATTTTCATTGTGTCTCAGAATATTTTGGCCATATAGGGATTGATATTAAGCAATCCGAATAAAATATTGTATATAATCTATTTCATTTACTTTGAATGACCATTTTATATGTTTCAAGTTCATTTAAAGTGCCATCCACATAAAGTGCTATATGAAATTTTATTTCTTTATGTATATTTTAAACGGCCAAGGCGTTCAAATACAGTTGCTCGTAATGGCGACCTTCAGAACAATCTGCTCATTATATAAATAAGTCCTTTTTCCTGTGTAAAATTCATTATTTATGTAATAAGGTTGTTTACAAAATATAGACGATACGACACGTTTGGCTCAGTTTGTAGTAACCCTGCTGGCTGTGCCAGCGGTCGCGGGTTCGAGTCCCGCTGGGGCATTCATTTGTGTGATGAGCACGAATGTTTGTACTACAGTCATGGGTGTTTATATTTATAATTTGTATGTATTTAAAGTTATATATGTGTATTATATCAACTATCTGGTACCCATAACACAAGCCTCGTAGCTTACCATGGAACTAGATGGTGTTGTGTGTTAATGTCCCGACATATTTATTTTTATTTATATATATATATTTTTAATGTTAAGAATGCCATTAGACGTATGTATACTTAAATCGTATCCCAGTCCTACTTACGTCCATGATTTACTTTTTACGAATAAAATTACATCTTTTAAACCATATGTCTACACTGTCAACACATATAACTTTAATGTAGCTCAAAGGCGTTGACAGAAATTAGAAACATCGAGTGTTCTAGTAAATAAAGTTTCACATTGATCTTTCTTCACTCTTTTTAAGTAAAACGCGTTGATTGACTATGTGATGTAACTGTTGTCTCTAAGGCAACATTATATATTTTTTTTTCATTAACACACAGCACCATCTAGTTCCATGGTATTCCACTCCATTGTTCCATGGTTCCATGATACCAGATAGTTGATACACTACACACATATGTAAATTTAAATACATACATATTATAAATATGAACACCCATGACTAGAGTACAAACATTCGCGCTCATCACACAAATGAATGCCCCCAGCGGGACTCGAATCCGCGACCGCTAGCACAGCAAGTAACGTCATTACAAACTGAGCCAAACGTGTCGTAATATAACACTTATATTTATTTAATAAAATCATTATCGATCAACTTACAAGAAAGTCTCATATTTTGAAAAAACTAGGTAGGTTTATACTGGTATTAATTGTCTTTAACTAAACTTGTTTTAAAATTAGTTTGACCATTCACACCGTACCTGCGTGAGCTGAATCAAATTGCAAAAATGTGTACCTACGAGTATGTTAGACAATGGGACAATCGATTGTGATGGTTCAACTCACGCACTAAAGGTTGGTTGAAATTGTGAAAATTTGGCGGAACTAAAAAGTTTAGGTGAAAGTTCTCATTTCTATTAGTCGTTTAATAAAATAATCTATCTAAACCATTTCCAGAAGGCATTCCATGGTCCTTACACTATTTCCATTGAAATCGGTTCGTATTGCGCCTGTTACTATTCAATTTTTTTTTATAGGTACTTTACCTTTGACGCTAATTAAATAAACAATGCCAAATAAATAAATATAAAACATATTCAGGCAACTACTAACATGAGGAAAATTAAAACGAAAATACATAATCTTCTAATCAGTATTTTGCATTTATTAGTATGTAATACCTACGTACATATATCTCTTATCATAGTGTTTATTTGTTCAAACCACCAATACTTGTTACGCTTTACAGTAGAGAGTTTTTTTCCACTATTTCAAGAACAAATCTTTATTTCTAACTTTTTTATAAATAAAGATAAAATATGTTTTTTAAGTTTTCATTTTAAAACGTGCATTTCACACATTTAAGTCAATAATTCAGTCGGTAAATTGGTTGTTTGGACAAATAAGCGCTGAGACGACGTTATGGTCTATATCTTACTGTAAAAATAGAAAATCTCTAGGTGTTGATATGAAGCTCAATAAGATGCATTTTCGACTAAAAAATCGAAGCATTGGACCTTCTTTAGTTATGGAAAGAAATTCATGGCATGTTGTATGAAATTCGAACATTGTGTACTTTAAGCGTCAAATAGCGGGTTACAAGTGATTGTCAATTGTTATCTTGTAAGTGAATACTTTCGTATGATCTTATTAGCATTAAGTTAGCATACAGTTAGAAGGAGGTTCATATGAATGCTGTGCTAAATCTTTTGTTTGTCGACTTGGGATCGTTTGATGATCGCCATCCGTTAAGCGTGACCCAGAATGCGAAGGATTTAAGTGGTACACATTTATTGAAGATTGGAGGATGCTTTTATTAAATCTGATTGTTACAAAGATAGGTTGTTAGGGTAGAATTAAAAAAATGTGCCGTTAGATTTTTTATAAGTTATTAAGCATTTAGGGAAAAAGTATTATAAACTCAGACAATTATTTGATATCGAGAATTCGATAAAGTACTCACGCTCTCACAGTATCCTGCCCGTTCTTCAACCTTTTTACGATATAAATAAAATAAACCTATGTTACGTTAACCAAACTCAATCTACTATAGAAAAAAAAGAACAATCTGTCTCTATGCAAAAAATCAAATAACACCCACTTTCCAATAAGAGGTATGGCTGCGATGGATTATATGGATAGGGATTGTGAACATTATAAACTTGTTTATTATACATTATATACTTTTAAAGAAATAAAATAAACAGCTGTCAATTTATTTATAAAAAATACCGAAAACAATATCAATATTTAATATTAGATACATTCTCTTAAATATTTGTTGTATCGCCCATAAGCTACATAGAAGAGGTCCCAGAAAGCCATTCTATCCTTGTATATTCTGCTCTTAAGGTCGAGGTCTAAATCAATTACAAGGTAAGGTCTTGTATTCTTAGTGATCGGAGCCCACATCACTGGCAACAGCTCGTTGACTTCTGGGGTAGGATTGCTAAAACAGATAAAAGATTCATTTTTTTACAAAGTATTCTATAAAAAATATATAACAAATAAATGTATCCATTAATCTATACCCATATTTGATGAAGTTTGCCCACAGAGTAGCTACACGATCAGTTATCAACTTATTATTATCATTTGTGTCTATCTTATTAGTCGACATTTTAAATAAATATCCCAGCTCATTGGAATTCGCGTCTCTATTTTCTGCAGAGCTGTCGACAAAGCTGAACTCGTACTCGTATATGGGATTTGCATTCTCATTAAGTAAATGACTAATAGTTCTTTGGATAGGATGATTATAGACTATATCAGAGTCAAAAGTTTCCAATTCTGAATGAAGAGCTTTCGATACAGGTTCATCTCCTATATAAAAATGCCTAACGAAATTCGATGCTTCGATTAATTGATCGTCATTTAAATTGAAGTTATCTTCTATTTTTTCATAAAAAGGATCCCTTTTGTAATAATTACTTCCATAAATACTTGTCAAATCAGAAACTTCTCTTCTAGTATGACCGATTAGTACTGGTGTATTTCGAATTTTCTTTTCATTAGACAGTGAATTAGAATCAGTTTCAATAAAGTTACTGATGCCACTAAAAGATTTTTCTCTGCAAGGCCTAAGTTTTAAATCTAAATCTACAGCAGCTGCAGTTACTAATTCATGTGAAGTTTGCTTGAGAAAATTCAAGGCATCTTCAGTACTAGTAGTGTTAAAACCTAAATGTGCGGCCAATTTGATTGCTGCGTATGTATCGGCTTCTACGAATGTTCCAATATTTTGGGGAGTACCGCTCTCCGCAATAACTTTACCATATACCTTTTTCTTATCTGAATACAAATGTAATAAAACTGAGCTAGATCCTGCTCCTTGACCTGCTATAGTTATATTATAAGGGTTACCGCCAAAAGACTTGATGTTGTTCCTTACCCACACTAATGCCTCATATTGATCTTTCAAACCTTGATTACCCGGGACAGCGGGAATATCAAGACACATAAATCCATAAGGTCCTAGACGATAGTTAATAGTAACAACTATGATACCTTGTTTCACTAAATTTTCCGGGCCATATTCACCACCATACCCTGTACCAAATTCACCTCCATGTATCCATACCAACACTGGTAAAGGGTTCAGAACACTCGCATAAGTTGGGGAGTAAATGTTAAGTCGAAGACAGTCCAACACTTCATCTCCGCTGCTCGATACAGATGTTGTGAATTGTGGACATCTTACTGATCCGTAATAAGCATTATATACGTCACCACCAAATCCTGGATGTTCTAAAGCAGGCTAAAAGAAGAATTATTATTTTAAATTTTATATTTTGGGCTTTTTAATAACTTAAAAATTTACTTACTCCAAAAGGATTTTCAAGGTCTACTGAAGCATAAGGTATTCCTAGAAAAGACGAATATGTCCCATCACTTGACCGCAACCCTCGAACTAATCCTTGGTCGATTAAAACTAATGGATCGACTCGCAATTCAGAGGCACTTACGAAAACTACACAATAACTAAGTAATAAAAAGAACAACATTTTCGAATCTTTTTAAATAAGATTATTTGTAATAATATACGAGCACCACATTTCTATCACAAGACGACATTCATAATGTATCAAAGATAAGACATTTTATCCTAAATAGGCGTCAGACTATCTTGATGAGATGAATTTACAGCTCTTTTATCTAATATATCAATCAATTTTCTTGATCACTACAAATTTTCTATGTTACATGTATGAAAATTACAATATACCGCAAACTAACGAACACAGATGTCTATTACCTAATCATAGGTAAATAGAGAAGTATGATAACCGGTCGGATAGAAAGCAAAATAATTTCACAATTGTTATGATATTTTTTTACAGGAAATATAAATTTATTTTACATATAAATTTTAGTATAAAATTTTAATTATTTTAATAATAATTAATTAATTAATTTAGTAATTAAAATTAAAAATTTAAGAAATTAATATTTAGTAATATAAAAATTAATAACTAATTTTGTGCCACCGTTCAAGTTCACTTTTTAAGAAAGATATATTATGTACATATGTTCGTTTAATAATTAGCTGTTGAGCTTTTTCTTTTGTTACATAGTAACCAATATTTTTACATATTTTGTGTATTTCCAAAAATCTTCTTATATTTTTATGTACTGATGGCGCACTTCTGCACGTCTTTAAATGCAAATTCCTACAAACTAATTTTATATTTTTTGTTCATGAATTATTATTTATATTATTTTAAGCTATTATTTAATATAAGAAAAATGCTAAGCTCCTTATCAAATATCTGAAGTGGTCTGATCGCGTAACATTGAGATAAACGTGAATATCATCTGTATGCAAGGAATGCTTGAATGATGACGAGTATGGCTTTGTCTTGAGACAAAATTTTATTGGACTAGTGATTGCCTCGTGGTTAAAAATCAACCATAATTCATTAAGTTTGATCGACATTGAGGTTCTTTTTTCAAAGTTATATAGATACAGATAGCCTATAAAATTCGAAAGAATTTTGAAATGGGTCCATAGATTCAGGAATTTTTACGTACAGACAAACAAACTTTTCATCTTTATATTATGTACGTACTCGCATAATATTGATGAAGGTTACCTTACATCATGCTACTCTACTATCTTTTAGGACTGAAGTAATTACATATATTTATAAATAAAATGCGCGAGCAGATTCGCGAGTAAAAGAAAGTCAATAAATTTTGGCTTTCTGCATTTCTTCTCTATATAAACTTTAACTATTGCAAAGCTCATCCTCTTCCGTACATGCAATATGCTTAAAAAGGGCTTCAAAGTTTTCTCTTCATGTATTAATATATAGATAACGATTAATACTTGAATTTTCTAGTATCATAACAAACGTCATGTGTGTTATAAATTAAAGGAAAAATAGGCAAAGAAATCGCAAAAAAAATTCCAAGTTATGCATAAATTGTTTTAAGGCTGATCCCACTTGGACAAATTTATATTTTTTTGCCAAAATCCAATATAAAACTTTGATGATGGCAAAAATTCATTTAACATTCAAAGGTTTAACATCTGGTTTTTTGTCTTATATAGCTCTACTCCTTCTGTTGGGAGTGTTGCTCGGGGCATGGGTGCTGTATGGGGTGCTGAGACTTATTATGTCACGTGTGAGGAGATCAGCCAAGCTGCGGTATGGAGATAAGGAGTTAGCAATACAACAGCGGTTACGTGCTCTTGATACGTTTAGAGGGTAATTTTATGTATTGTTGTGTATAAAAATCAAGTTCTTTTCGACATGGAAGAATTATTATTATAATAATAAAACGATAAGAAACATATAATTCAATAACCTAGATTTTTTTCTAGAAACTTTACTAAAGTATCACATATAGATATTTAGTTAGCTTAATAAGAAAAGCTAAAAAAATACATTCTCATAATATCTATCCATAAATAGAATAATCCTTATTTGGTAAAAAGTATTTCATTAATCAGTGTTATATTGCGAAAATATTTATTTAATACAAAAATATTTCAATAAACACTAGCTAGCGATAGGGTAGTTACGGTTTTTTGTTTGCAGGATGGCTATAGTTTTCATGATATTTGTGAACGACGGAGCCGGTGGCTACTGGTGGCTGGAACATGCGACGTGGAACGGACTGGCCGCAGGGGATCTGGTGTTCCCTGCCTTCCTATGGATCATGGGGGTCTGCATACCACTAGCTGTAAAGAGCGCTTTTGCTAAGGGCGTGCCGAGATGGAAAATTGTGTTACATATTATCAGGGTAAGTTTATTTTGGTTTCAAAGACAAATATTGAAATTGAACATTCAACTTAAAAATGATAAATTTTTTACAAATTGTCAGCATCCGCTATACTTACTTATTCCTATTTAAACGTAGATAAAAAAGACATGAATTTTGCTTAAACGGAGTGTTACCGAGAGAAAGATACCATAAAGGTGGTTATTGAAGAGAAATCTACCTACCGCAGACGCGACTCGCGACCGCTAAGATTACATAAACTTAAACGGGACGAGGCTCTCGGGCAGACTGGTTTAGCGAGTCGCTTATTTGTTTACAATAAAAGTAGACGAGTCGGTTAACCTTTTGAAAACCAGTAATATTACATAAGCCTACCAAAATGAATGATGCATTGTTATCCGTCATATTTAATGTAGAGTGCAAATTGCAAATGTGTTTTACACTGACATTCTCAATAAACATTCGAATTAATGGATGCCCAAATTGAATTTTGCTATTGACATGTCCGGCTTATCGGCTGTCCGGTAATAGAGTATGAAGGCGTTGAGTAAAATCACATTCTATTGTGACAATTAGTTATGCTAATGATATAATATTTATAACTCCTTAGATTCAATTTGGTTTCGCAAAACGTTATTACGTAACACTATTTTTTTATTCAAAAGTTATAAGATCCAATATCTTACGGACGTGCTTTTGATACAAACATCGTGTGATTGCAAGTTTTTGCAACACATTTCATTGGAAATTCAACGGTTGCGTGCAAAACGTGCGCTCTCACAACCCCCGTGATAATTATCAAGCGTTTAAATCGTATCGCTTTTCATCCACTTCATTATTAGTTCTCGTTGTTAGATGAGGTATGCAATCACTTTCTTCGATGGACTGTATAATTTGTGGGCATACACTGGTTATTAGTCCGAGAGCGATCTAGAGTAAGTAAATCTCGGCCTGGTTTGGTTTACAACTAACGAGGTTGCTTTAGTTTCGAATGACGGTCAGGTGTTCATGTGCCGATTTACAACATGACATCTTAGTGTATGTATGTAATTACCTTATGGCAATTCTCAGCTCTATAGTTAAAGAAAATTTATATGGTGTATATTGTAAAATATTATGTACTGTCGATATATATATATATGGTCTCTCTTTATAGCTTTATGATTTCTGAACACTTCATTTTATATAAGTAAGTAGCGTTATTAAATTGTAGTAGCTGTTGAGTAGTAATTTTTACCTTAGTTTTAAAATTAGCATTATTGGCTTAGCCGTTAGTACTATATTGGATATTTTTATTCGACTCCTTCATTCGCATTAAATCAGAATTTTTAAAAGATTTTCCCGTAACCGTTAAGCTATTAATATTTCTTCTATAAATACTTTTCTTTATAATTAACTTTCATTGAAACTGTCGTCCATGATGCGTGTCTTTCCATTGCGGTTTATCTCAGATTATTGTTAATAAAATGAAATCTCCTAGAAAATAAATGTTTTTATATAATATTTTGTATTTTGAAGATTATAATTAAATAATATTGTAACAAATGCGTGAACTTGAATAATTGAATGAGTATGTTTGAATTTCTCACTAACAATGTTAATTATCATACATATATTTAACCTTCGAAGACGTAGGTACCTACCTATTTAGTTATTAAGGTACAATTGTTGTATCAAAAAATATCCTAGTAATATAATAGTGCTTTGCAAAAAAGAAATTAAGGCGTATAAATAGTATCGAGAAAATAATGAATTTATCTATTTACTCGATTACATGTTAACTTTATATTAATTTCAGCGGTCCTGCATGATGTTTTTGCTGGGAATATCCCTGAATACGATCTACGGCTCTAATATGCTGAACGAGCTGCGTATATTTGGCGTCCTGCAGAGACTGGCGGTGGCTTACCTCGTCGCGGCCGGCTTCTACGCGCTCACCGCTCCGAAGTACTATACACCGCCAAGGGTTAGTACAAAATAAAGTTATAAAGGGTGCCATTGTTTCTCAATAAATATTATATCAACGAATATTTAAACCGGTAAAATCCCTAGTGTGACTTACACTTGACTATTTATTATGATTCAATTCAATTCTTTAGTTTCGTGGCTTCTAGGAATTTTCATTGAGTTTTTTTTTTAATTTAAACTTTTTTTTCTATAATGGCTTATAGTTGCGTTAACAGACGCAATCCATTCTGCCAGTGTCACGTTTTGTGAGGAAGACACGAATTTAATTTGAACTTTGAACTAATATTATACTGACTTTGACGTGTGACGTTTTTATGATAAAACAAACACAAAAGATGCTTATTAAATATTTAGTAACGCGTTCTGAGTAAACCTTTTGGGAAATCAAACTTATTAATTAAATTTGTCGTATAAGCAGTAAATACCTAAAATATTGGTAAATTAATTGCTTTTATGATTAAAATCTTTAAATAAAACTATCTTTTCGGATTATTTCGCGGATTCATTTTGATTTTTGGTTCCCGACGTTTCGAATGCTTTATGCTGCATTCATGGTCATGGTCCAAAAATCAAAATAAATCCGCTAAATAATCCAAAAAAATAGTTTTATTTAAAATGTCAAATATTCGCGTAAATCTAAGAAAGTATTATTAAATTTTTTATTTTATAATATGCCGATATTGCATAGAGCCGGAGGAGATAAAAAAGCCGTTAGTCTGGATTAACGTATCGTAGCTCCGCGGGTTTGCATAACTAAGGGCTTTGATTAACGATCACATAAGTATTAGGTAGCTATACAAAAAATCAGGTCATTTTCAACATCTTTTGTAAACTGTATGTAGAAAAATAGTGCAAAAATGGCTGTGTATAAATGCAGGATTTATTAAAATCTAGGGGCATTTTTCCTGAACTCATAATTCAAATAAAACAACTGAATAAACTTAAATTCTAAGAAGTGACAATAAAGGAGATTAAAAAATTGTCTACTTACGTTTATAAACTGCATGAGGACACTTAAAGCACTAAGAACATTTAAAACTATAGTAATACTATTAAAACAAAAGACTAGAAATGAACGTATACGAAAATTAACAAAAACTAATAACTACTGGAAAATAATATGAGAAAAATAACTATGAAAAAGAGCAAAAAATATGAAAACTTAAACGCGTTTAATGAATATAGATCGTATTCACTTATACTATTGATTATTGAACTTCGCGGTATTTTGTGACTACCCTCCAAAAATCTTGAAAAGTATTCACAGATAATAAAATCAAAAAATTTTGCTAAATGTAAATTATGTATATATAACACAATATTTTACATAAATCAAATAAAAATTCGTAAATGTATGTACGAATTGATAATAACATCTTTCTATTTTAGAATCTTAGTAATCTGACGACAATTTTCACTTTTAATATGCATAACTCTTAACTAATTATTAGCGATAACCTGTTCTGTCATTTGTCAAAATTTAAGATTATTTTGTTTAGGTTATTGTTTTTAGTGAAGTTATCAAAATATTAATACAATAAAGCCTTATTTGTTATGAAAATATGGATTTTACACGAAAAAGGATATTTTTTAGTCGTTAAAGGTATTTTTATCTTTTGTAACTTATTTATGCATAGAAATGTATGGAAATGTTCTAATTTTAAATCTCAATAAATTTGGAATCCTTCGTTTCCTCAAAATAATTTTTATATATTTTTACTCCGTATCATTTCCTCTATCCACTCACTTCTCCAGGGGCCACGTCCCATATACTAAACTTGTGCCAAAAACTTTAATAAATACAAAAAAAAAACAAATAAATTATACCTTTGTATCCGACCGGGATTCGAACCCGGACACTCATTCAATCTTGCCCCTTGGCCGCTTGACCATGATGCTTATATCCGAGCGTGCGAAATTATCGAACATAATATTTTTCGTGAAATCATGCAAAGGGAAACCGCATGAAAATTCGAAAACACGCGTTTTCCCATACAGAACACTAATCTAGATCGATTTATCGCCAGCGAAATCCCTTGTATACTAAATTTCATGAAAATTGTTGGAGCCGTAACCGAGATTCAGATTATATATATAAGAATTGCTCGTTTTAATATATTTGATTAGATATATAATATATATTATATACGTAGTCTATCAATTCCATATTAAACGTCAAAATGTACCTAGGGAGGAACCCAAGCGAAGCGAGGGTGCGAGCCGCGAGAGTAGTATCTATACCTATCCATAATTAAAATAAACTGACTGATGTATCATAGTTACGCTAAATGTAACACTAATAAGAATATTGTATTAGGTTTTAGTTTTTACGTCATTGATTTATTCACTTCTATAAATTATATTATATTCTAGGGAGCATGCGGTCAGGCATTGAAGGACGTACTCTCTTGTGTGTGGTGTTGGGTGCTAGCCGGCGTGCTAATTGCGGCACATAGCGCTATCACCTTCATCATACACGACCCTGACTGTCCAGCGTAAGTTTATAATATCTTTATATATATAATTCTTCTGTGAGTGTGTATGTCACTGGACTTCTCTCAAACGACTGGACCGATTTTGATGAAATTTTTTGTGTGTGTTCAAGGGGATCTAGGAATGGTTTAGATTCACAATTTTAATAATAATATTCATAAAAAAAATTATTAAAAAAAGTTTGAAATTTTCAAATTAAAGACGTGTAGACAGGACAACGTCTGTCGGGTCCGCTAGTAAAGTATAAACTATGTTTCTATCGAGCTGTTTTTATTGCAATGTATTGGTAACTATGTTATGTATGGCGGCTATTTTTTTAGTTTCGATCTAATTATTAAAAATTAAAATGTTATATACCTTAATAATAGTGAGTTCGTGTGAAAGGCTGGTGGTTAATTTTATGGTATTATTAAAAGTTACACCAGATAGTATTAGCTATTTTTATCAAGATTCGTCTTATACATGTATAGAAAGCTTTATTATTGAGCTTATTTTCTGGAAGATTTTACACCCACTTTTTAAAATGTAGATACATAATAAACATTGTATAGGTGATCCCATCTCAGCAAATTTTCGTTTGTTTTAATTTCGAAATTAAATGCCACTATTTATTGTACACTTATTAATTATACATAGCACGTAATACATCTTATTCAGCCCTTATTGAACGTCCCACTGCTGGGCATCGGCCTCCCTTTACTACAAGGGGATCAGGGTGGCGGACTTCACATGTCTTTCGAAAACTTGCTAGGTTCTCTCAGACATGTAGGTTTCCTCACGATGTTTTCCTTTACCGTACATAACACATGAATACAATAAATTCAACATATTTGCAGTGGATATCTGGGTCCCGGTGGCAAGCACGATGAGTGGACGGCACCGGAGTGCAGCGGGGGCGCGGCCGGATACATCGACCGCTTGTTGCTTGGAGACGCTCATCTTTACCAGCACAGTGATGCGAGACGCGTGTACGGTGGAACACCGGTTGATCCTGAAGGACTGCTAGGTAGTTTATCTAAGATGAATATATATATTTTATATTGTGAAGAAACGTTAATTTAAATAAATATAAAGCGGACTACGTTAAAATGTAAACTCTACAGAAATAATTATTAACCAAGCCTTTATCGTCGAAGTTAGTTCGTCTACACCCTATGGTATGTTATGTGGAAACAAAGTACTATATCACAATTTTTTACCCCATTTTAAAGGCTGTCTGACATCAGCGGTACAAGCACTATTCGGGGTACAGGCCGGAGCAACAGTTCTGCTGCAACGATCACATAAAGCACGAGTGTCTCGATGGCTGGCCTGGGCTTTAGTATTTGCACTGGCAGGTGCTTTACTTGCCGGCTTTTCGAGAGAACATGGCGTATTGCCTATCAATAAGAACCTTTGGTAAGTAAAGACTTAAATGTATCAACTTTACCACCATGTACATGTATTTAAAAAATATATTACTTTTGATTTTACGGGATCAGACCACTTAGAATAATAACTTTTAAAAGTTAAAACAGAATATAACAATTATATGTTCTTTTCAGGTCCACATCTTTCGTTCTAGTAACATCAGCAGTTTCCCTCGCAATATTAAGTATCTGCTACACCTTTACTGATGCTTGGCGTTTGTGGGATGGAGGGCCTTTTAGGGCTCCAGGACTCAATGCTATTGCTTTGTACATTGGTCACTCGATATGCGCACATTTGTTCCCATTCCATTGGAAAATTCCATACATGAGAACACATGCAATAAAGCTAGTTGAGGCTGTATGGGGAACTGCTTTGTGGGTCATTATCGCTCATATAATGGCAAAGAAAAAAGTATTTATCACGCTCTGATCAAATAAATTATGTTATCAAAATTTTACTTTACTTTGACGAATGAACTTAGAATGTTGCCACAGAGAAAAATATTGTAATGTTAAATGATTGTCAATTTTATATGGAATGTGGCAATTCTATAGTTCTGTTTGGTGCTCGTTTGGTGCCTTATTTTTTAGATTTGTCCAAAAATTACGAAACGAAATCATTATAAGCGATATACGTTAGTACCTACGTTTGATTTTAAAATATAATGCCATTTCCATATTTACTATCTAATTGCTAAGTTAATTAAGTTTAAGGTAAGCGTTCATTTACACTGGATTTTTAACATATCCTCTAGTAAATAGCGAAAGTTTTAAATAAGGATGGCTCAAAGTTCTATGCATTAAGCATTATGTATTTTAAAACGATTTAAGTTCTATCGATTAAATACGTGTGCTACCCAAATAGTAATACTTTATGTGGTTACAAATAACAAAGACTGACCTTAAGCCTTGTAGCCCACTAAATTAAAAAAAAACTGTTTTCGATATGAAACATATTATAGACAAAATAATCTTCCAAGAATAGCGTAAAACATGTGGACAACAGACCTTATATTTCTTGGTTGTATCAAAATTGTATTATAAACGTCTAGTCTAAATTTTTATGTCTTTAGTGTGTTTATTGTATTGTATAAAGGCTTTTTTATGCTTGATGAAATATATAAGATATAAATTATTATTGTTTTTTTTTCTTTACATAACGGTTTATTAATTCGATCTCTTATCCCAGATTCGATTTCTATTTTATGTTAATACATATCTATACATATACTAAAATTCTAACCGAGTCGAATATGTACATTAAATATTTTTCAGAAAATTTTATTTAAATAGCCGACGATGATGATACAGAGGCCGAATCTGTAGTTTTTAGAAATTTTGTGTCTGTCTGTCTGGGAACGCATCACGAGAAAACCACTGAACAGATTTTGATGAAATTTGGTATGATATGTTAGTTATCCGGGTCAACATATAGGATACTTTTTACTGCGCGGAAATATTTAATGTCTGAGAAATATGTACTAACCGTTAAAACGTAACAGAAGAGTAGTGAATTATTTCGCCCTTCTTTTTCTGTAAGACAAGTATTAGTTCCATTTATACAAGAAACTACCTAAATTATATACCGGGATGGGAAGTATCCAGGATAAAGTCTATCAAAGTATCTATAAGTTTCATTTAAATGAGTTTTTGCGTGATAATAACAAACATCTAGCAAATTTCATAAAACACTTAAAACATATTTTTAGGTATATATTGTATAAGGAAAATAATAAAAAAAATAAAACAATCGATTTACAATATCCGACGCTTTATTAGCTCAAGGGTGACAGTAAATTCGCAATGTCATTGGAAAATAATAATAAAAGAACGATTCAACAAATCATGACTCAAGGTAACAGCGAATAGTTTTAACAAATAAAACTATCAATAAAATTACACTTTAATAATTAACAAACCGACACGCCGTGTCCACCGTCCGCTGACCGCCCAACACCGCCACTAAGCATTCGAGAATAATTTATCGTTTTACTTTCTTCTAGTTACTAACACATCGTATGAAAAATAAATTTCATTTAAATTCTAGCAGTATAGTTATAATGGGTCGATCTAATATATCTATAAAGATTGAAGAAAAAAGAAGGAATAATAAATAATTTTTCTGTTATCTATCTTTAACACAAATAACAGTATAAGATATAACAATATGTAAGTAAACAATACTATATTCTCGAATGAAAGCGACGCGATTGTCACCCAATGTGCGGTACTCATACTAATGTATGTAAGTTTGGCATTTAGTTTACAATAAATGTATTTCATCGATACGATATCGATAAAATGTTAAATCGATAAGTTAAATATCTACTTTAGTAAATTTCTAAATCGTTTTCGATTAAATCACTCTTTTGTAGACGGTAAATGCCATATTAGGAATTAAATATATTATATAAAAGTTAAATACTTTCTTTAATATATATATATATTTCATACAGTACAGCGTTCAAAAAATCACCATTCATTATTCTACCTTAGTTTATGGTAAAATCGATAACCGACAGCGGGCTCCTCACTAACGATACTAACTTACTCGTACAGCGACAGACACGTAAAACAGTGTTCATATATATTTCTAAAATTTCATTAGAAAAAAATCTCTTAAAATATATCTCAATAAATTCTTTTAAAAATGATTCCCTTCGGGCCGGGAACGATATATTACATTCAGCGCGATATAAATAGATTTATTTGCTTACATCTAAATAGGAAGAACTTCTAATCATGTAAAAGAGAACATAGTAATTGCACACATAGTTATATGTGAGGTGAACGATTACAAATAATAAACAAACTGAAAATCGAATGATTAAATATTTAAAAAAAATTGATTGGTTGGTAAAAGTATAATATAAATAAAAATTACTTACAAATCTCATGTAAGCCTTTTGGTATTAAGTCGATTATGATTCAAGATTGAATTTCATTCGATTCATTCATAATCGTTCATCTCTTATAAATATACTAACACAAATATGCCGATTGAATGAGTGTAAATATATTCTACATACATATGTATAGATGTCACTAGAATTTCGTCTAGTTATAACATTTTGAATTTATAATATTTCTAAAGTTAAAAATTTATTCTGTAAATAAATATTGATATTCCACAATATACAAAGAAATAGGACGAAATTCGCGAACATCTGAGCTAAAATGAATGCGATACGATACTCTTAAACAACAGCAGGTAATGATTTGTACAGGCGTTAGATATTAAGTTAAACATAAGTACTCGAGCTCACTTTAAGTCACTCATAAGTCATAACTAAAGAAAATGGAATGTGTTTAGTACAAAGAATGCTAGACGTTTTGAAAACAATCGCGTTTTGGCAAGACCTAACTGTTCTGCGAGATTCTATGAATGATTAAGTGATTGATGACTAAAATTACTGTTAGCGGTTAATTAGCGTTAGTTACGTTACTTTTGTCGAAGGCATGCCATTTGTACTTGTCCAACTATAGAGCGAAGACTAGACGCAACCGAAAACATTTTGCACGGTTCAATTAGGTCCGTTAGATGCGTATATCTAAATCTTAAATATGATAAAATCTCTAGGACGACACATTTCGCTATAAATGCAAATTCATGGAATTCAATATAAAAGGTAAGGCGAGCCTTACAATATTATGCTAGTCTCGGGCGCTCCTCCCGGGCGCGGCCGCGAACTGACCCGCAACGGAAACATCTGTGCACTATCCGGTTATTATAGCAGAAATTTATTTTATTTATGCATAATTTTTTATAAAATCCAATTTAAAACTATTTTATAAATATTAAAGTATTTCCAATTTTTTTTTAAATAAATTTCGATAATCGATTAAAAACATCGATAAATCGATTAAGTGATTACTTCAATGGTTTTTGCTATAATAAGCGAACGACGAGACGGTTTCTTCACGTGCCCATAACTTCTTCGTTAAATCACAACAACCGATATAAAATTATAAGACCAATAACATGTAGTGTGATCAACAGAACTCAAGTTAATTATTATGAAGAGTAAAGCGATGACTCGCTTTAGGTAACAATATAATTCTAACCTAATTGCATATTTTAATAAAAACACGCACAAATCAAGATTTTAATTAACTGCCCATCGGCATTTAAAATATATTACGAGATTTCAAACAACACACGTAAATATCGATATTTATCTAAAGACCCAGCACTATTCCCTGTCATCGAGTCATCGGATCGCGATCGACAAACTTTCTGAGTTATAAAAATAAATATCTAATGTGGCACTCGAAATTTGCTATACCTAAAACTAGAGGCGGGCGATTGCGAATGTTTAACATAATTGATTTTGTGTGAACGAATCGAATAAAAACAGTACATTAAACGTAATTAAAATCGATTTATGTTTCATAATCGCCGAACTCATCCCAAAATGCAGGTATATCATATCCAGCACCACAAAATACTATTTACTAACAAATACAATGAGCAACCATTCAAATTAACATTTCTTTCCTTTGGATATCAATGTAAAGTTACATCCAAAATATACAAATATACTTCGCTATGGGGACGTCGTTGTATACTTCGCAAACAATCCGTGGAAAAGATCACTTCCCACAGTCCTTAATCCTGATCACTATCGGCTAATACTGTTACAAATTCTACACACAGAACTATTGATAGACAAAAAAGGTATGGAAATTTTTTATATATAAATTCATTGGTGTCGATCTTTAAATAGGCCTGAATATAATGTGATCAAACGATTTCAGAATGTCCAGAAAGTTAAGTCCCTGTGCAAATGTGACGGCAATGCGACGCCATTGTGGTACCTGGCTGTAGGAAGCTGCGACGCCGCGTATGACGTCACTTCCTAGAGCCGCGGGTGACGAGCGCTTGCAGAGCTGCCAGCTGACTCAGAAGATTCGCGTTGGTTTGCTCCAGGGTCTCTACCCTTTTCCTATAATCTGAGTTTTCAGATACTAATATTTCTACTTTTCTTTCTAATTGGTCCATGTATTCTTTTTTCTTACGCCTGCTTTCTTGCGCTGATATCTGTAAAGTAAATGGAATAATATTTTACACGTCTGTTAATATATAATTAATTAGAAGGTGAATCAGATTTTGGGCCGTTATTGGTCCGATTTCCGAACGTATGTAGATTGTAAGATGGTATTAAGAGAGTTGCCAGTAGAGATAACTGCTGCCAATAGAGCCAACTTATTTTATACCGCCGAGTCACTTAAATTTTATTATACAAATTAACAAAACTGTTGAGAAATACTCTGTGTTGAATAAAAAATTTCAATAAAAATACGTAATAACTTCAAATGAAATATACATAAAATAACCATATTTAACAATTTTCGTATCCAATTATACGATCTGACCCTGGTTATTAAGTAAAAAAAATTAACTTACCTTATTTTTAATTTTCCTCCTAATTTTTTTAAGAGACTTTTCTTCAGCCTTGGTGAGCGGCAGGCGCGTTGGTACCGGGTAGCCCTCGGCCAATAGTGTGCGTTTCTCTTCATCAGTCAACACTAGCGTACCGGTTGAGCCTTTCTGTGAATTAAAAATATATTCCAATTACAAAAACACTTAATATCAACCATGGTATGATCTTACTGAGAGTAGACCAGCCTGCTTTCCTCAGTGGAACGAAATAAATGCTTTATAAGCGTTTCCAAGGCATAAGGGCACTAGATTTAGTAGCAAGTACTAACAGATACATTTTTTAACAGTTATTAAAGCTCAAGTTTGGCTATTTTGAGCTGTTTATTAACACTTTATTTTTTACTATACGAGTAATATTTTTTGTTATATGTATATTCATTGATATTTGTATAATATACTAGCGACTTATCCTCCGTTACCGATTCTAGCATTACATGCCTTTAGGTATTGTTAACAGTAAGTAGCCTTTGAGTGAGTCGCTAGTTTTATATATATTTCATAATGATATACCAACTCACCGGCTGGCTGCTAATGAGCGGCGTGTTTATCGGTTGTCGCGAGTGATGCGACACGTACAGGTGCGAGCGACGGGCGGGCGCGGCAGGCGCGGGCGGCGGCGCGGCCTCGTGCGCGGGGGACAGGGCGCCCTCGCTGTCCGAAGATGAGAGGGACGACGGCGGTGTGGGCGGCAGGTTAAAACCTGCTGTGATGGCAATGAACGATGGTTAATCGGGTCACTAGTACTATTACAATAACAACGAGCGACTTAATAAGAATCCATGGCTAACGATCGCCAAAGTTTGTATGTGTGGAACAGCTGGATTTGCCTAGGTGCCTAATGCAGCCTTTGTGTTACTTCTGGTCCTACTCATAGTTTATCTATGTACTATATTTTATTCACATTTGTCCAGTCGTTTCGTCGTGAAAGAATGACAAACATACACAAAACTACAAACTTTTCAATCTATACAGATAAATAAAATTAAAGTATCTGTTTGTAATATCAAAATAACAGCGTTTTACTAAATGCATAAGAAATTATATACGGTACTTATAAGAAAACACATTTTTTTAAATTTTTGTCTGTCTGTCTGTTCTGGATAATCTCTAAAACAGCTGGACTGATTTTGACGGGACTTTCACTGGAAGATAGTTGATGTTATAGGGAGTAACATAGGCTACTTTTATTTTAGAAAAAGAATTAGGGTTCCGCTCAAAAAAATTAAAACGTACCTAGGGACGAACCCGAGCGAAGAGAGGGTGAGTCGCTAGTTTATAATAGGAATCCGCTTTACATATGGGCTCGTCCTTTTCAACGAATCAATGATGATGTGCCATGAGTTCTTCTTAAACTAATAAGAATATCCTACTATACTCGTAAGTAATGTCTTATGTTCGATCTGAGAATCTGTGGTTACACAGATTTTTATTGGAATTTTTATATATAAATATTATATAAAACGAATATTATGTAGTTATTTCTTAAAGGACATATCGTATCCAAAAGTTGAAGGTACATTATTCAGCGCGGTGATATCATGGTATAATTTCTTGATGGCAATGGACTTTGACAATGTTTTTGTTATTTAAATTCAAATATTTTGGCTTTGGATAAGCCTGCATGTACAACATGCATTTTTGTATATAAATCTTTTATGCGGATCGATGCGATAAAAAATTGTGTTATATAACTGAAAATATATATAATAAAAAAATGGAAAACAGATTCAATTATAAAATACTATCTATTTATCTATTTCAAGCCTTCGAATAATTTAAAGTAGATCTCCTTCTATTCCGTCCACTTAATTATGTCTTGGGCTGTCAGTACCTAATCATTTTTAACCGCTATCTTTTTGATATAATCCATCGCACTTGGCCATTATAAGATACACTGCAAATCAATTAAAATGACATTGTGTCGGTCTAAGTGGTACATGTCCGAGCATTACCTGAAGTGCCTGAAGACGTGACTTTAATGGAGAGTTTGTTGTTGTTCAAAGAGTTGGCGATGCGCGGGGCCGCACTCAAGAGCAACTGCGGCACGCCCGCCGCCCCCACCTTCTGTAGCACGGCTTGTGGCATGTGGATTGTACCGGTCTGGGCAAAAAAATACTTAGATATTAGCAATTCATCCATCCATTAACAGAAAATATTAAATTTAGCAATACGTTACATGAAAAATATCAACAACAAAGTTTTGGTAATATACTATTTTATTTATTTGGACAAAAGTCTTCAAAATTGGTTATAAAATTGCGGCAATACAAACAAAAATAAATCGATACAAGCATTTTAAAACCTAAAATATTATCCCCTGGTACAATTATTTAATTACATCAAGATCAACAGTATATCAATATATTTGATTTTAAGTCGAAATCCCTATTGATAACCTAGTAACATAGTTCAAATATGCTACTTACTTATGAGAAAATAATTTTTGTATTTAACTTTGTGGTCCATCTTGTCAATCTTAAGATATATAATTTAAAAATTGTTTATTAATTTGAAAGTATTGAACAGCATGTGTTAAAGCAGCAAGCAGGCTATTAATAACAATTAACTAACATATAATGACAATCTATATTTTGGTAGCAAATAACCTTACAAAGTAACTGAATCTATACCATATTTTCATAATTGAATCTTATATAATAACTTGAATAATCATATTTGGCAATAAGATTGCGTGTGTTGATATCAGATGTTTATCAATCAATTAGTATGCAGATATTCCCCCGCTATGTTATTCCGAAGAAAATTTACATCCTTTAGGCAAAGCCGCGCCCGGTTTTGCAAAGGTTTTTACAGTTTACATTAAACCAAGCACTACTTTATGCTTTTATTTGCCATTTGTAAACGGAAAAACTTTAAGAGAAACAACATTTATTTTTCATAAGAAACACTAAAGTCTTGTCGATTATCGTCAACATTTTCTTTTTGCTTGTCAAGCCAAATTATCGAGAGGCCGTAAAGTGTAACCTTTTCGGACATGACACGTAAACATATAGGCTGTATATAATTACACCAGATCTTGCCAGTTTTTAAAAATCGTCCACAATTTTTAAGGTTAAATTACAGAGAAAGTCGCAAAGTAGAATCGGCTAGCTGAACTACAGTAACCTTTTGATTTTTGCCCAGTCATGGGGTTTGATAGAGATTTTGTTTTGAATCACGATTGCGATTCACTTATCAATTAAATCTCTTTCACTTTGGTATATTTATTTTTAACTCTTATTTGTAATGTTTAATTGGCATATAGCAACATTCTAAGTTCATTTATATTTTATGGTTATTAATTTTAACATTTTTTGAGAGACGACAATTACACGTATCATAGGTACGCATAAATATTTTACAAAATCATTTTCTTGAATCAAATCGCTTGTAATTTCATATTAATAGGCTTCTTTCGATACACTTGTAAGTGGAGCAAGCAATACATTTGAACCAACATATTTCCGTCTGACACTCTCGCGTATATCATTTTATTACTGACCTAGATCTTAAGCGCCGTGTGGTCTAGAACTCTAGATACGTACCGTGTGGTCTATGACGTAATCGACGTGTGTAACTGGCGTGCCAGGGGTAGGCGAGGGGGGACATGATGAAGCGGGGGACTCGGGCTCAGATTTTGGTTCCGCCTTTACTTCTGGAGGAGGTGAGTCGCTGGACCGCCGCCTGCTTCGCCACGCGCTGGCTGGTATGGCAGGATAGCATTCATCTTCCATATCTGAAATTATTATATTTCTTGTTAACTAATGCAAAAGTTTTATCTAGTATTCAAAGAAAAATTGGCGCATATCTCAGACATTGAAAGAACTTTTTGTCTCATAATACGAGTATATCTAAGTAACCAATACAATAGATGGTGATCTTATCACGTATATTGTGTATACAGAAATTGGATAAATCCCCTAGCGTCAGGCCACAGCTGCACAGGTTTTGTTGTACCTACCTACATGTATATTATCTTATTCATCGTTTAGTTAACATGTGCTGTGAAACTCATTGCGATATTTCCCATGCGAACTGCGCAGAGCTGATTTAGTGCTCACGACCGACTAGTTTTAGCATACGAAGATGAAGTAGATCAGAAATAGTTTAGAATGTAGATGTACTAGGAAAACTAACATTATTTTAGCTACTTATGTAAGACAATTAAAAACCTCATGATCACATTATTTGTATGTTGACAAATATTTCTGATAAGTTTTCATTCAAAAGTTGTCTTAGAATTAAAACAGTTAAGTATCTTATAATATCTTTGAACTAAAAATTCATTTTGACAACGAATGTAACAGATATAGTCGTTTGGTCAGAAAATAAGGCATCTATTGCAGTAAGTTTTAGTTTCTTTTGCCAATATTTGTGGGTCAGTGGTATTATGTATAAAATCGTTCGATTGTCACTTATGAAAGTTACACGTACACTATTAGGTGTTGAAGCTTCTGTATCGAATCAGTTATTTCCTCTTGTTATAATTCAATATTTCAAGTTATCCATTCGTGCAATCAAGTGGAACTGCTGTGTTGAAATGTAGGTGTAAAATTGCATGCTTTTACACTTTTAACTGTTTTTGCGCATGTTACATGAAAAAAAAAGATGGTCGATAACGATCAATTTCTTATTTTTTAACACGTTCGTGGCATACTCGCTCTATGACCAATATTTTGATATGTCACGTACTTAAAGATTCTGTAGATAGAGAATTTCCATTATATGTACATTTAAGCATAAATTAACTATCTTTATATATACACAATGTTTAGAATTTTAAATTCATATAAAACATCTAAATTGAGAATAATTAAATCATAGTAAAAGTACACACTAAAAGAATTTGATAAGAAATACATCTGTTGGTTAAATACATATGTAGTTAGCATTAGAAGCGTTTCTGCAGACATTCCGTTGCATCACCGTTGTAAAACAGGAATGCGTGATTAACTCGTCAGGCGTTTGTTTATTTCAAGAACGATAATAATCGTCCATTAGAAAGTTTAATATATCCTTGATATTACTCGTGTTCTATTGAACGGCTAGTTTTTTTGTGGGATTTTCAATACTTTTAAATTACCGTACATATCTATCTATACATATAATAAAATTGTAACTAAACCGAATCTGTACATTAATTTTTTTTTGAAAATCTTATTGCAATAGACATTATTATCGATACAGAGGCCGAATCTATAGTTTTTAGAATTTTTGTCTGAATTCAAAAACTGTTATGTAAGAGTATACTAATATGTAAAACCTAAGAATTTGGTTTTGGTCATCTGAACGCGAGCGAAGGCGCGGGCAACACTAGTATGTGTATAAAAAATGTTTTTGTAAGTAAAACTATAGGAATGCGAGTTGAATTTAAATTGGAATTTAGACTGATATTTTTCTTACTAATATAGATATATTTGCTTTATCCGAACAGCAAAAACGACTATAGCCCTGTTTGAGTTTTCGCAGATTAATTCGAATCGTGGTTTAATTTATCAAGCACAAATATATATTGTACTTACATAAAAAACGTAAAATGCCTATTTGATATTGACTATAATCGAATTATGAACAACCATTTTTAAAGTTTTTTCTGTCTGTTTGTTCGGATCAATCTACGAAATGACTGAATCGATTTTAATGGGATTTCCTCGGACAGAGAAAAAATATTCTGATTATCCTTAAAGACTTCTATTATATAGTTGTTATACAATATGTATACATAGACGTAATCTGCCACGGCTACTCTAGTAATAGTTGAAGTTTTAATACAACACTCCAACACAACTTTTTCTCATGTAAAAATTTGACAATGCAGTCGAAACAATACGGCACGACTTACCTATTTATATATTATATTTATATTAAACCTCGTGAGTCATTTCCATTTTATTTATAGAAACAACCAAGTGTGTTTGATAATGCTATTGCAAATATTTGAATGCGTATTTGTATGGCTGTTTGTACGATATTGCGTGCGACTCGCGACCGTTTATCAGACAGCTATGATGAAACCGATCCTTATCAGCTATCGTAATGATGTCCAATATGTGATTAACTACATTTGTATAAAAAAATGATAAGATAAACAAATTTTGCGATTTTTTTTTAAATAAATAAAATAAATAATATGAAAGTGATTTAAAAGTGTATTAACTTATTCTTATTATAATTATCTTGTGTGTTATTTTTTATTTCTGTGACCTTATCTATTATCTTACCGTACGTGATTTTGTTACAAAGAGAACTTGAAGTAATTTTCCTTTACAAACAGTACAATATGAATTGCTTCACACAAGCAAATAGCATTTGGTTCTTGTATCCAAATAATATCTACCACTTCGTCTAGTGGCCATTCATCTTGATACTATTTATTAGGATTCGTTAAGATCATGACAGGTTTATGCTTTTGATGGCGATATAACTGCGGTCGATGAACTGAGGCATCTTGCGGACATTTATTATATTAAAGAAAGTGCTAATAATTGAATTAGCGCAATGCTCAAGTTATTTGTCTATACAGATAAATAAAATTGAACTGTCTGTTTGTAATGTCAAAATAACAGCTTTTTACTAAATGCATATGGAATTATATACGGTATTTATAAGAAAAAAACGATTTTTAAATTTTTTGTCTGTCTGTCTGTTTGTTCCTTGACGGGACTTTCACTGGCAGATAGTTGATGTTATAAAGAGTAACGTAGGCTACTTTTATTTCAACGTGTTTTGTAGTTTACAAATAACATTTGAATATAAAACCAATGTCGGCGGCATTTCTAGATTAATTAAATTTTACAGTTCATATAGATTACATTTAATGATAAGTATAACATTGACATGCCGACTTATCATATAATAATTTCAAGTATTATATATTTGGCTAGTAACAGTAAAAATATACTTAATACACTAAAAACCGAAGCAACAAACAGACACATACCTACATAGAAATGAAACTTATTAGGTACATAACCCTACCTTCTTTTTTATATATTTTTGATCAGGTATATAAAACAAGGTGCCTTTTGCTTTTATTAAAAAAATACAGACAGACAAACAAGTATAAAATGATAACTAAAAAGAAAAATATGTAATTCAAACGGATGCAATCGAAATCCTATTTAAATATAACAGTAAATACGGTTGGTGTAAGGTAAGGATTTTAAGACTTTTAGAATATATGCATAAGTCGTTTGGACGTAATTTACATTGTAAAAGCGGGCATATGCCGCATATACGAATACCTTTCACCAAAACCAGATATAATTTATACGAAGGTGCTCGTGATTAAATTAATGACCGAGCAACGGTAAGTGCTAGGTAGATTGACGGACCTAACCGGTTCACGCCACAATTATTATATAAAAATCTCCCCACCAATACGAAACCTTACTTCCTTATTTTATATTATAGATGCAATTATAAAATATGTTTGTTGGTTTGTCTATATCAGACATCAGCAACTTAGCATCTTTTAATTATCAAATTTTGATAATTCCTTCCTTTAATAGAAAAAATATAATTTTCTTATTAAAAAGTTTCTCAAAGTAAACGCTATCTTAATATTTAGTCTATACCTACTACTTATTTTTAGTTATCTATTAACATTGGTGTTGACTAACATTTATGAAGCTAATCAAACCAGATATTCATCAAAAATGTGGTTTATGTACAAAACTGTTTACTTATATTTTGAAAACTAGTTTTTACTTGGGGTTTTTAATGCAGTAGGTTCGATCGATCGATAATAAGTAAGTGTACTAAGTGTTGTATTCAGTCCTTTTTAACGCTCCACTGCTGGACACAGGCCTCCCTTCAATACAAGGGGGATCAGGCTATAGGCCACCACGCTGGCCAAGTGCGGGTTGGCGGACTTCACATGTCTTTTGAAAACTTGCTAGGTTCTCTCAGACATGCAGGTTTCCTCACGATGTTTTTCTTCACCGTTAAGACAAGTGGTAATCATGTTGGAAATGATTCGCACATGAAAATATCAGAGGTGCAAGACCCGGGATTTGAACCCGCTTCACTCGGTTTTCCAAGCGAGTGCGTTACCTCTGGGCTACCATTACCTAAGTAAGCATTAGGCGAGCATAATAGATAACGAAGCGAAGCGAAGATGTGTTTGTACCATTCGTATGATATATAGAAAATATATTAGACATATTTATTATTTGGCTTCAAAGACAATATTATATTACATTCGTTAAAACTATCTAATAAAATATGTCACGATTTTGTAATAAACCGAAATTTACATATTTAAATAATTTAAAACGAAAATAATGTAAAAAATAAAATACTTTGGCTGCTTTATGATTTATTTATTACGAAATATTATACTTACAATATGTAAATAGAAAGAAAGTTTCTCTTGTTGTTTTTATCTTTTCTTATAGCAATAAAAATGACCTTATATATTATCGAAAAAGGCCATTTACAATCAATTTCGTAAAATTCAAGATATGAAAGTATTAAATACGCATTAAAAAAGTATTTTATATATATATTTCCGACACCGATAATAATTGATTTTTGAAGTGATAAGCGACTTTTTACGACATATATGTATTTATATCCTATCTATGTATGGCACATCCAAGAAAATTATAGATAGATCAGAGTTGTTTTTTGTTTTAACATTGCAGATTTTATATTAATCGTTTCAATTTTTAATTAAACACAAAATTTTACAGACAATTGGTGAGTGAAGAAAGAAATGATATATTTAAACGCTTCTATAAGCTTTTATTTGACTTGCGATGTTTGTTAGTATGGCTGAAACATAGCAAGCTGAATTAGAACTCATATATAAACATAGCAAGCTGAATTAGAACCACTTCCTCTTATCCTGTAGAATAAGATAAGAATGTGAGGTAGGAACTCTGTAGAGTTGAAATTTTATATGTTGGTTCATTTCTGATAACAATGATTTAAAAAAAAATATGACCTGATTTTCCATCTAGGAGTGGCTTCAGACGACGCAACTCTTTAACGGCTAACAGTACAAACGCGAAATTTTATATATACATTCAATTATTTTTATATATCCAAGATCGAATAAGTATTTGATTAGATTAGACTATACTTGATTGCCCCCCTTCCCTCCCCCTCCCTTGAATAGCAATGGTTGTAGCTTAACAACTATTATACCTACATAACTGCAAAACAATATAACATTTGACATTTATCTTGCATATAACAATGCAAGCCGATGCGAAATCCACGAACTCTGAGTCATGTCCTCAAATATGTTACAACTAGCATTGCCCGCGGCTCCGCCCGCGTTCAGATGACCAATAACCAAATTCTTAGGTTTTATATATTAGTATACTCGTACATTGCAGTTTTTGTATTTTTTCTTTAAAATGAGATATTTTACCGGGGTAAAAAGTATCCTATATGTTGACCAGGATAATCAGCTACCATCATACCAAATTTCATCAAAATCCCTCCAGCGGACCAGACAGACAGACAAAAATTCTAAAAACTATAGATTCGGCCTCTGTATCGATAATAATGTCTTTTTCAATAAGATTTTCCAAAAAATATTTAATGTACAGATTTGGCTTAGTTACAATTTTATTATATGTATAGATCAGTTGTTCCAAACCCCGACATGACATAATGAATTTTAATTAAAAGCTAACGCTTTATTAGCTTTACTGATATGTATAAGTAGAGATTTGTGAAACATCAAATAGTAAATTTTAGGAACAAATTATTGATGTACATACGAGTATGTACCAATTGAAGAGTAGCCAGAAGTGCTTATAAGTCCATAAACTACAACTATGGGAAAAATCACGTCGCTACATGAAATAAAGACAAAATAAGTGTAGAATATAAAAATGTAAGAATATTTTTTGTGATTAAATAAATATAATTTTAAGCTAATAATATTTTAAAGCAATATATCAAAATAAAAAAAATTAAAGTATTGTCCATCTGTTCGTACATATTTCTAGTTTCCACAAACGATTAGTTGTAAATTAGTGGAAAAGTTTTTATTAAGTAAGATATAAAGTATTTTCGATTAAAATTAAAAAATATAAACATAATAAATTAAACAAAAAATCGTTTTGAGCAATTTCGAAAATCTATTTAAATATACATAATTCATATACTTCTTACGTAATATTCGATATTGTTTGAATACAAATGCCTATCGAATGTGCGATAGCGTTATCTCTGGCAGATTAAAGTTAATTCACTCTACAACATGGCGCTAATAAAGATCGCCAAATATTATTAATTATATTTAATATATTTTTTTGTTACTGCGCAAAATAGGCCTCGTAGCTATTCGATATAAATTCAGGGTTAACGTGGCTTTGTATACAGATCGTCGACTTAAGTGCTTATTTGTTCAAACTGTCAATACTTGTTGTACTCTACAGTAGAGCTTTTTTCCTCTTTTTGCTGTGCCAGCGGTCGCGGGTTCGAGTCCCGCTGGGGACATTCATTTGTGTGATGAGCACGAATGTTTCTACTCCAGTCGTGGGTGAATTATAATGTAAATATTTATAATATGTATGTTTTATATATGTGTAGTGTATGAATTACCTAGTATCCATGACACAAGCCTCGTAGATTACCATGGAACTAGATAGTGCTGTGTGTTAATGTCCCAACATATTTATTTATTTAATATTTGAAGGTAACTAAACCATGTTAATGAACTAGTTAAGAAATAGTAACAATTTTATTTTATTTTGTTTTATGTTGCAATTTTAATTATTATTTCTCGAATCTTTCAGCTGATTGTCATAATAGCTGATTAATGTTTAAATATAATATTATCAGTGGAATGCGTAAGTTTATGCAGTTTGAAATTATTTTTTATCATATATAAGTAGGTACCTACCTACCTACATTTTTTTATTATTATATAATCATAATCTATATTTGTGCTCAAGTAAATTGAAATGTGACATGTTTTAATAACTAACTCTATCGCTACTTTTTCGAGTGATGCTTATTTCGATTTTTATACATATTTATTTATTTATGTAAAATAAACTAACAGAATATCGACAAAGGATAATTTATCTCTTTAAGATATATCTTCTAGAAACCCTTCAAAAGTGAGAAAATAAGTTAATTTAGTGCGGTGTAGGTGCAGTATACGCATTAAATGGAATTGATTTAATATTAAAATAAATCAACTAAATATTATAATTATACACAAAAATAAATACATTTATACACACATACATACAAACATATATACTTACATATACGTATATAGATACTTATATATTATAATTTATATCTGATTTATAATATTGATTAGAATAATAATTCAGCATGAAATCATCATAAAAATGAAACGGTACTTCCCGGAGCATATTGGCAATAAATAAAACAGTTTTTCCATTTATTGAACGGTCCTAATAGAAGTTTTTCAAATTCCACTCAACAATGATATCAGTTTGTAGGCGAGCATGGAACCCTGTGGAGCAGTGCACATTGTCTCGTTCACACGAAAGTCGTTTGATATAAGATAAACACGAATATCGTAATAATCATTGTGTGGGTACTGGGTTCATTGTTATAATTAAGTGTTCAATCATATATTTTAATAATATTTTCAGCTAGATTATTTCAATGAACCTAAATTGGTATTTTATTATATGTATTAATTTTTAAAATAGAGGTACATAACAAAATCTATACTAGAAATCTTATTTCTTACTAATATTATAAATGTTAATCTTTAAATGTTTGAATGTTTGTTACACAATCACGCCAAAACGGCTAAATGGATCGAGATGAAATTTGGCACAGAGATAGATTATAGTTTGGAATAGCACATAGGCTTTTTATCCCGGAAAAATGTACGGTTCTCGTGAGTTAGATTTGTTTTTGTTTTTCTAGAGGCGAACCCGTGCGAAGCGAGGGTGAGCCGCTACTATAATAATATTTCGATTCTGACAATTTTTAGAATTATCAGTAGATATGTATATATAATCTGTGGTAATATATACTAATATGTTTTTGATAACTAATCCTGAAAGCTAGATAAAGTTTTATCACAACGTATGACATGCATAAAAGCAATAGCCTTAAGCTGCGACCTTATAAATATAAAAACAATAAATGGAATTAAGTATTCTAGACCAACACGTGGATATAAGCTGTGAGCATCCAGAAATTCTCTCGGAGATTCTTTCTCCAGAAAGATCTCGAATTTGTTGAAATAAGAGAAACAGGAACTTACTCACAAACTTTAGCATTTATAATATCAATACCATAAAGGCTAACGTAACATTAGAGCTTACGTAGTAAGTAGTGCTTTCAGCTTAACCAACTCAAACAAAACTTAACTATGGTTCTAAGCTTGCTGAAGGTGAAGAAACAATAAAGATTTAATCGAATTGATCTGACTAAAACTGACCATAATTGAATACGTAGTTCATATTTCGTGCCTCATCTAGACGAAACAATGTCCAAATATATTAAACGAGCGACCAACCCTTCAGATACAACTGTTCTACCCATAGATATACGAATAAAAATATTTTTCTAAAAGAACTTACAAAACTAATCAACACTCCGTATTTCATTTCATTCTTAAATAGAATAACTTAATTATTTGATTTGAAACACTTTTCCTGTGATTCAAATTTCTATTTCGGTAACAATTGCCTATAACGTACCAGGCAGTTAGTACAAACACCGTCTCCACCTACATTTAATTACCAACCAGTAGTCTTATTTTTACGCATAACTAGAACGTTTAAATGTTAACTTAAGCATTTTATAAGTAAGCAAAACGTGATTAATGTAACCTTATTTTTACACGAAGCTAAGAAGAATTTCGTTTATCCAAGAGCACGCATTCACGTACAGTACAGTAATAGGTAAATTAATCAGATAAATTAAACGATAAGTTTTGATTCAAAAGTAATCTCATAAGCATTATATATTAACTTTACAAGTCCACAGCATGTATAGAATAAAAAATTTATGAAATGTTTAGAGGATAATCCCACATAATATTAGTATGAATTTGAATTATTTACATAGGATTTTTTGCGTGAATGTTCGTAAGTAGTTATGATAATTCAGGACAGTCAGATACCTACATGGAAAAATCGTAAGTTAGGTGTAATATATTTCTGGTTGAATTACCTATACTTTTATAACGTATTTATGCAAATATCGAGAATATACTAAACTCTCGAAATCAAGGTTTTTCTATTAATGAAATTTAAAATATCAAGTAAATTTAAACAATTTCATACCGTCAACTTTGGTGTGGTGTGGCGAGGGTGGTGCAGATTCGACATCGGAGTGGAGGCTGTATGAGTGTTCTGTCTTTATGGGTGCAGCGCCTAGCGCGGCATCTGTCATCAATCTGTCGTGCAATACTACGCCGAGTTTGGAGTCCCGCTCGATCAGCCAGTCGCCCATCTCTGAGTCCTCGTCCAATACATCTTGCATCTCCTGCAAAGATTTACAAGTTTGCTATAAATAAATCTAATATGATAATGATTTATGTTTATAGTTTAATCTACTCTAAGATATTACTTGTTTACCTCATAACGACTCACTCTCATCAAGTAGGAACAATAGTTTCTAATTAACTGCTAGTTGGACAAAGCTTTTGTAGAATTTATATAGTTAGCAAATAAAGGTAAGTAGTTTTAGTCTTTCTACCTTGACCTTTTTTTTATAAAAAAGTGGAAAAAAAATATGTTTATAATCACGCGTAAGACTTTAATTATACTGATAAGAAACTCGTATATTCTCGCAATTGAAGTTGGAAATGTACACTGTTTTTGTGTCTTGCCCTTGAGATGTATCATGCAACAAACATTTTGTTTGCCAGATATTTTGTTTGATACGTGTTGTATACCTATTCCCCAAATAAAGACGTAGACGCCCACAGATTTTACAGTTATAACTTACATCTATCATATAGGACTTCAAAACCGTAAAGAAATCTATACATACATATAATAAAATTGTAACTAAGCCGAATCTGTACATTAAATATTTTTTGGAAAATCTTATTGAAATTGACATTATTATCGATACAGAGGACGAATCTATAGTTTTTAGAATTTTTGTCTGTCTGTCTGTTACCGCATCATGAGAAAACCACTGGATAGATTTTAATGAAATTTGGTATGATGATAGCTGGTTATCAGGGTCAACATACCTATAGGATACTTTTTACCGCTTGAAAATGTCTCATTTCTGAGAAAAAGACAAACACTGCATTGTAAGAGTATACTAATATGTAAAATATAAGAATTTGATTTTTGGTCATCTGAACGCGGGCGGAGCCGCGGGCAATGCTAGTGTATTTATAAATATCAAAGATACTTATGAAGTAATAGACATCTAATACCAAAATAAAAGGTTATTTTTTTCACAAATCTATTAATTCTCTGAATGCTATAAATAATTATGAAGTCACGATAATATATACATACAAACGTAACGCAGAAAAATACGAAGAGTGCTTAATAACATACATACGAGGTCATTGGCACGAACTATAATTCGCATCTCTAGCTCGCAATTCGTTCGGCCCTCACCTTGGCCGAGTGTAAATAGGAGTCGTTCAAATAGTTGAGGCGAAATGAGTAAACGTCCGCCAAACTCGGTCGCCGACCCCTCACAAGCGACGCTCGCGAATCGCGTAGTGCCTGAGAGTTCATCAGCAAAACCACTTGATAACGAGTCGACACCACCTAATTTGTATGACCACACTGTAGGCCGTTTAGAATGTTTATTAGCGTGCCTTTGGAGATTGCGAATCGGACACGCTCGCGTGATCGTGTTGTTGGAAAAATGTTTTCACTGCTTCCATAATAGTCTTCTATTGTTGTTCACTATGCGAGTTGTGAACTGTCTGGAGTACGATTTCAAGCTATCTAGAATTTCAAAAGGGGAACAAAAAATTACAGCGCTATTCGCCCCAGCGATACCAGTTATACTTAGACTTATTTATGCTTTGTGACTGTAAATTAAATTCCATTGGACTTACATCGAATGATATGGTATCGATTTAGTGTTAGTAAAATGCACAAAGACATTCTTTCGAATCTATCTATGTATATAGAATTAAATTCGGTGTACCGCTCGGTCGAGACGGGGGTATTGTACTTTTGGTTTGCATCGACGTTTCATAGCTGGCGCTTGGTGGGAAATACCAACCAGTAAATTCTAAATAACATGAAGAACGTGATGGAAATTTAAATAACAATTGAAATATTTTCTTATTTATTTCCACAATATTATTGCAAGAGAACCGAATTACGATTTTTCAGGTACAATTGTGACGCTATAAATCGCTCTTAAAATATAAGAGCGATTTATAATTTAGGATATGCCAAGAGCTTCTCATATGCTCAAAAAAAACTAATTTGACGTTTGTACGAAATAGATGAATAAAATTCAAACATGCCTCGCACACAGTTGTTTTATCAATATTTTTTGATTAAGAAGAAAGTGTAGAAAAATCTAACATATTTAAATGTTATAAACATATGATTCGAAACAACAGTGTGGATTTAACTCGACCTTATAATTAAGTAATTAAAATATCGTTTGAAAACGAGTTATTTAATTATTTCGCCATTACAGTTCGTTTTCGCTTACTCGTCGCAGCATGCTTCAGTGGGCCCGATTAGAGCTGACGTAACGTTTCGACAGTCATACTTCACTTTCTATTCTTTATAGTTTTGAGCTGAACTGTATTTTTTCGTTCGTCTATGACTTAAACTTTATTTTCCTTTTATTTATATATTTTAAGATTTTTCTATTAGATATCTGCATTATTTGTTAAAGGCTTCAAGTATTCGGCAGCTCACGACCAAAACAGCAGTTCAAGGAGAAAGAAGTGACTGAGAAGCTGTATCTTTCATCGTATATAATAATTATAGTTTTGTATATAGTATTTTTCCACGATTTATACATAGATTTTTGTTTTCGATATTTTCCATTGTTGAGAAGAACCTTTTGATTTTGTTTCAAGAAGTTCAACTATAAAACAGGGCGCGGTAATTGGAGGATAACAAAATTGAATTAATACCATTAAAGTCCATATAACGATTACAAGGAACCACAGCAAGTTTATAATTATTTTTACAGAACTAAAAATTACGCAAATAAAGAAATAAGTTCGTTTAATAACTCTTTTTCATTATACGAGTATTACTGAACTATCAACGTATAAATATTCATGTCTTCACCACTACATACTAATAAATTGTTTTGCAGAAATATATTTACATAACTATCGACACATTTTATTCGTTTTAAAATATTCTATAAGAACAACATTCTTGCATATTAAATAATAATTTAATATTTTTGTATCGATTAAATGTAAGTATTTTATAAACTAGCGACTTACACTCGCTTCTTTACTTCTCTTAGGTACGTTTTAAATAGATATAAATAGTTATTAGCCAGCGTGAGTCATTTACATTTAACTTTATTTATTCATGAATTTTTCCTATGCTTTAATGGTTATTCTGCTTCTCGGGGCGAAGTCAAATCAAAATCCAAAAAATAAATAAATATATTTAATTGCTTCCCAATACAAACTTTCATCCCCATTTTAACCTCTTTAAGGGATGATTTCCGGGATAAAAAGTATCCTATGTCCTTTCCAGGGTCTTAAACTTCTTCTCAGGGTCTTAAAAAGTAGTTCCAGAGATTACCCCCTACAACATCACAAATTCACAAACTATACCGCTTTATAATATTAGTAGGCATAGATATGATTTTATACATATTGTATATAAAATAAAAGAAAATGCGTTTTATAAACAAGATCCTTAATTAAAATGTTTACGTGAAGGCCGATTGATGGAGGATCAAGTCAATTGTTACAGCTCTCAAGTTGGGTAAGTTGATGTTATAACAATACTTATTTAAGCGATAAACCAAATCTAATTCTAGACAGGTTTACAGTTACATCTATGTATATAAAACAAAATCGGGTTTGTTACAACACTTATAACTCGAGAACTGCTGGACCGATTTTTATGATGTTTGTTTTATTGGATTTGTCTTTACACCATATAGCAGAATAACTATTAAAAAATCGGAAAAAATCGGTGGAAAAATCAAATAAAGTGCGAGTTGTGAATAAAGAGATTTTTCTTTTACGTAGGAAATGTATTTTTAGGGTTTTATTAAAGAAATTGTCTACGATGTAGTATTTTTATTTTAGGCAATATTTTATTATAATTTATATATTTCCTCAATATAAGCAGATAATCTAATACGATTTCCCTTCAGTAAAAATATATGAAAGCTAAATATTAATTTCCATATTTCTTACTTCAAAAGTGACCAATGAAGTGAGTAACTTTCATACATATTTATTTTTAGTGGATTAATAGTAAAAAGGCCTTCGTTTTATGCCTACTTATAATATTAAACGAGCAATTCTTGTTACATAATATACTTAATATATATTAATTTATTTCGTATATCTCGGAAACGGCTCTAAACGATTTGGATCTAAGTTTGTATTTTGATAAGGTTTTGCTTTTAAAGTTCATTTATATAAGTGTCCTTTGTGAAAAAAAAACTCAATTTTTATAAAAAAACACGAGCAAAGCTCCTTCTCCCAGTACCTTACCTAATCTAATATATTTAAACGATTCTTGTATATATATATATAATCTGAATCTTGGAAACGGCTCCAACGATTTTGAAGAAATTTAGTACACAAGGGGTTTCGGGGGCGATAAATCGATCTAGATTAGTTTTATGTCTCGAAAAACGCGTGTTTTCGAATTTTCATGCGATTTTGTTTTGCATTATTCCACGCAAAATATGGTCGCTAATTCGCACACTAGGACATAAGCATCGCGGTCAAGCGGCCAAGGCGGAAGTTTGACAACCACAGGTGTCTGGGTTCGTATCCCGATCGGATACAAAGTTTTTACTTTTGTTTTCTTTTTGTATTTATTCAACAATTTAGTTTGTTTTTTTTTCTATGTTTTTTCGGCCAAAAACTCCGAGCGAAGCTCGGTAGTAGTAATTTGTGCAAAATGCGCCTCGTGCTTCTAGACTCCCTGTTTACGGCTGTATTATCTGTCAGCTAAAAAAGAACATAAAGTTTTATGGATTTTCATTAACTTTCCGTATATTCTTTTCCTTTCTTATGGAGAAAACTCTGTTCGCAAAATTAATTAAAAAAAAATGTTTAGCAATCTAAGAAATAGTTTAAGTTAAAACCAATCTAGCATTCTTAATTGATTGACTACGAACTTGACTTATAGTGCACTTTTAAGTCTTTATCCTTATAGATGCAAAGGCCATTTTATTTTTACAACTCCAAGTGACCTTTAGATGAATGTTATTTTTTATATGAATTGCGTTGATTGTGAATGCAATCCGCTTTCGGAAAGACGAGGAATTAAACAGTCATATCATAATTATAATTTATTTATTTTGTAGTTTACATTTAAATTTAATATACTCGTATTTCAAATGTAAAATAAAATGGCTGTTGATTAATTGTTATTTTTGATCAACTTTAATATAATACTTTTAGAAATGTATATTTTTTATCTGTATGTTACCGGTTATGTGGTATCTTTGACAATTGTAAATCTATTTATATAATAATAATAATATTTTTTTCAGAAAAGACACCTTTATAGATAAACTTACAAAGCAAAACCTTATATAAATACAAAATTTGATCCAAATAGTTAGGAGCCTTTTCCGTGATACGCGAAATAAATTTATTTATTACAAGAATTGCCCATTTAATATTATAATTACCTACCTAGGCGACCGAGCTGCGCTCGGAGGTTTTGGCCAAGAGTAGGTACAATCTTTTTTTTGCGTGCGAAAGAAAACCGCATAAAAACTCGAAAACACGCGTTTTTCCAGACATAAGACTAATCTAGATCGATTTTTCGCCCCCGAAACCCCTACATACCAAATTTCAGCGAAATCGTTAGAGCCGTTTCCGAGATCGCCCGTATAAATATACAAGAATTGCTCGTTTAAATATATTAGATAGGATTTATTACATAATGTAAAATTTTCGAAATCACATTGTTTCTGAGACTATGGGTCTCAGTATATAGTCTCAGTATATTACAAAGTCATGAAACTAGCTTCATGCTTAATTATTTAAGAGAAGTAATAAAATTAAAATTGACTTTTAGTAGTAATATATTACGTATTTTATTATTTAACACAACAATATTATTTACGTTAGTAAGCAAACATTTAATATAACAATCAAAAAATGTCCACGTGCAGATAAATAATGGGATCAGAAATGGCAATATTAAGATTGTACAGTCAGCATAATAATAAATGACGATTTATTTCTGCAATAACGTTAAAAAATATTTGGCTTATACGTTATTAGTTATTATAATGATATATTTAGATATAATGTTAGCAGATTGTGTTATTTTATTAAAAAAATATAGTTTATCATACAACTAACTATAAAACTTCACTATTATATATAATATATTGCTTCTCAATACAAACTTTCATCCCCATTTTTACCACCTTAAGGGATGATTTCCGGGATAAAAAGTATCCTACATCCTTATTTTGACAAAACTGTTCATTTCTTTTTTAAATATTGTTGTCATTATGAGGAAACTAAACAATTGAATGTCAATCTGTCAACTCACTGTTTTATTTTTTATCCCAAATTTTTCACTTTTGCATGCAATTTTTCAAATACTTCTTTCACCCAAACCTTGTTCTGACAATTACAAACACAACAAAAAAAGAATTAGCCAAATAGGTGCAGCCGTTTCGAAATAGTTCGCTTACGTACATTTGGCAATGATTTGTATTTATATAGAGTAAGTGTAAAAAGTATCCTATATGTTGACCCGGAAAACCAGACCAAATTTCATCAAAATCTGTCCAGTGGTTTTCTCATGATGCGGTAACAGGCAAACAGACAGACAGACAGACGGACAAAAATTCTAAAAACGATAGATTCGGCCTCTG